GTCACTTTGTCACAGAGGCACATGTCAGTCAGATCCATCCTCAACATAAAAATGTCCCCCCCCTCAAAGCCCTCAGCTACCTTCTGCGGGGGAGCGGCGGGTCCGGTTGAGCCTGCGTCCACCGGTCAGCACCACGGTCACCCTCTGGGCCCACAGCTGCCGGCTGCCCCCGTCCGACACGCCGCAGCGGGGCTCCGCCATGCGCCGCAGGGTGGCGCTGTCCAGCCGCCCCGTGACGGGCAGCCGGGACAGCCACTGGAACTGCCTGCACCCAGGGGGGGGGGGGGGGGGGGACATCTGGATAAACATCTGGAGGATGGACGGGACTCATTGCACGAGCATGCGCGTGCATGAGGCAGAAGATGGAGCAGGAGGGGGGGGTGAGGCTCCTGAAATTCTTCGATAGTTCACAAAGGGTTCAGGACCGGAGATGGTTTCCAGCACAGAGCTGGGGGGGTGGGGGGGGGGTTTATAGCCCCGTGGGGTCATTCGGCCCTCAGGCCGGGTTCTCACACTAAGACCCCCCCACCCACCCCCCCTCCCCCTGATGCTGAGGGCACACAAGCAGCATCTCCGGCTCTGGCCCGGACCCACGCGCTCTCCCCTCAGACCACAGAGTGGGGGGTCCAGGGGGGTCCCACCCACCGGACGGCTGACCGGACCTCCACCGCATTGTGGAGGTGGTGGTCGTGATGGAGGTAGCCGTACTTCTCCAGGAAATCCTGCAAGACAAACCAACGATGCATGAATGAATGAATGATTCCTAACGTTGCTGGTTGTTTATTCATCAAAATTCCGAGTTCTCAGGAGGCAGTAATGCCCGGGAAAGCCCCCAAATGACCGCAGAGTAAAGGTAAGTGCAGCTGTCCAGTCTTCAGTCGCAGCTCACACCTGGATCCCGGAGTTCAGATCTATTATCAAACTGGTGTGTGTGTGTGTGTGTGTGTGTTACCACACAGATCGGGAGCAGTTGTAACACAGGTATAAATACTTTGGAAATTAACCCACCCCCTGCAGGCTACATGCAACAGATGTTGCATCCGTGCTTTGTCAGAGTTTGGATATCTCACGCGCACGCGGAGGGCTCCGTGCTCAGACAGCTGTGATTACAGATGCGGAGGGGGGCTAAACTGCAAGATGACGGATGTGTTTTTAGGAAAATAGGTGCGCGCCACATAAACGCTCCTTTGTCCTGTAGGAGACAGAAACGTGCCGGAAGAAGGGAGAGTACAGGAAAAAATAAGGTCTGTCTGAGCTCCAGGGTGCACGTGAGACGTGTGTTCTTTTAAAGATGAGCCATCCCTCCTGGTGTGTGTGTCCTGACAGATTAACCAGCAATAACTTTTGATCATGACTCATTCAAATCAGTTTCTTAAAATGCTTCATTTTCTGGATTAAAAGTAAACATTCTGGAAAACAATGCAGGATTGAGTAACTCCTTCACATTTGTGTGAATTTTTAATATTTCAATTAATTGAATTATATTCCTGAAAGCTTATTTTTTATGCATTTTAAACAGCTCCTCTTTTATGAACACGTAAAAGCCTTCAATATGAATTTGTCCTAAGTTAGGCTACCTACAGATTTTATCCTGCATGACAACTAGTCGGGAGCTCCTACAAAAGGAAGATGTCCGTTTATATATATATATATATAGCCTATATCTAGTGTGGGAATGTGTCTCCAGAGGACACACAGCTGATCTTTTCTCCTCAGAAAGTTGTCAGATGCTCAAAAGTTTGTCGCTCGCTCCGCTAAAGAGAAAGAAAAATTAAGTTTTTTTCTAACTCCAGCGTGAGATCAGAGACAGTTCGTCCTCCGGTGTGGGTCAGATGAGGTGTGTCCTGTGGGGAGCGTACCTGAGGGTCCACGGCCTGCGGGGCTCCCCGGGCAGCGGCGAGCAGGGCTGCCGCCAGGATCCAGGCGCTCATGACCGGCCTGGGGGTCACCGCCTCGTGCGGGGATGAACACGTGGTTCCGCGCATTTCTCAGGTCCTCCGGCCGCTGTCCTCATCGTTGACCGCCCTGGCTGTCACAGCACCGGCCTCTGACCGGCCCATCGTCGGTCCCCATCCCTGCCGGGACTGACTGAGCCGATTGCACCGGCCGGAGCCTTATAAGAGGAAGAGGAGGAGGAGGGCCGGCACCGCCCCCCCACAGCTCAGGGCGAAAATACCAGCAGAGCTGCTGTACCGACTGCTCTCAGGCATTCCAACAAAGCTCTGATTCCACTGCTCTGAGGCACGGAGGAGGAAAGGGAACAAATCCAGGCTAAGCGCAGAGAAAAGGTCACATTTTTTTAATGTTTTGGAAGGAAACAAAAACAATAACCCAAGTAAAACATTTTATTCCATTCATACAAAACAATGGTTCAAAGTCTATCTCACAAAACATCTGCATCTAGAATCAGAGGGGAAAAAAAACAAAAAAAAAAAGATGTACAGAAAAACAAAAAGACATGCCAACAGTGTCACATCAGCCCAATAGCCTGTTCACATCAGCTCCACGCACCCTCTCAGAACAGTAATACTCAGGATGAACAGACCGCAGAAAGCAGAGAAATCTGAATGTCCCGTCTGCCCTCCCCAATTTCCTCCCCAAAGTCAAATCCTAGATCTGTGGCAAATTTAAGGGCTGGAATGGTTCCTTAATATGGCCGTCCTCTTCTGTCGTCTCGGCGGTCGTCTCTGTGGAGACAGGACGGAGGGGTTACACTGGGTTTTACAAAAAAAAAAAAACAACATCGCTCAGTGTCATCTGACAAATGAAGGTGAAGCATGACATCAACTGGGACCCACAGCCATTTGGAGAAATTAAAAACCCAACAGTAAAAATGTGAGAACGCTCCTGCCACAGAGGTCAGTGCGAGATGAAGGAATCACATCTTCAGTCTGAGGCCGTCTGGAGTTAGAATGATCTCCCGTTTCTCCTAACGTTATTGTGTGCTATATAAAGCAGCTCAGCTGGAGCCCTGGCTGCTGTCGCCCTCTTCTGTCCACCCGACACGACCAAAGCCCAACAGAGAGCGCAGTGTTGTCCTCGGCTCACCTTCCTCCCATCTTGTAGCCACCACCAAATCCTCCTCCTCCTCCTCCTCCTCCGCCGCCTCCATAGCTGCCACGATCTCCACCACGGAAGCCTCCGCGGCCCCGGAAGCCGCCGCTGCCCCTGTCACCGCTGTAGCCGCCTCTGCCCCCGCGATCTGCAAACGCCGTCGGTCAGCACGGAGCGGCCACAGAGGGCTCGGCCCATTTTATTTCTTTTGGGGTTCAAAGCACTGACCTCCACCTCCGTATCCGGCGTCTCCCGGTTTGGGCGCACCGCATTTGTTACACTCCTGCCGCCGGGCGAAGTTCATGTTCCCGCAAGAGCTGCGGAGAGAGAGAGAGACGGGAGGAGGGCGGTTAGGCTACACCGGGTCGGGCGTTGGCGTGGTAACAGGCAGGCTGGAGCGGCGCAAACCTGTTGGGACAGGGCCAGTCTCCTCCCTTTATGTCAAAGCTGGGTCCTCCACCACCACGACCCCTGAAACCTGCCCACAGCCACAGAAAAAAAAACATTAGACTCCAGTAGCCCGCCCTCCGTTGCAGCCCTGGGAACCCGGGCGTTTCCGGCGGCACCCACCTCCTCGCCCCCCTCTGCCGCCGCTGCCTCCTCCTCTCTGCGTGAACTCAGCTCTGCGCGTGGCAAACGAAACTTTGATGGGTTTGCCGTTGAATTCCTTGCCTGGAATGAAATGAATTAAAATGGAGTGGCGAACATTAAGAGGAAACATCAAGGCAGTGAGAAGCTGCGCGTGACCTCACCATCAAACCAGTCGATGGCAGCCTTGGCTGAGGGAGGGTCATCAAAGGACACGGTAGCCTCTCCCTTTGGCCGGCCCGTGGCTTTGTCAGAGTAGATATTGATCATGGGCTGACCCGTTTTCTTGTTCACCTGACGGCAGGAGGAAAAGAATGATTCACATCTATTTCCTTCCTTAAAAAAGAAAAACTCACTATAGCCAGATAGATTCTGTACCTTGATGATGCCAATTTGTTTGAAGTAGTCTCCAACTTCCTGAACTGTGGCATCTTCTCCAAGTCCCTGTACAAAAATGGTGTTGTTGTCCGAGTTGTCCTGCTCTCCAGCTGCAAAACCAAGGTGGAACGTCATGACTCGTCTCCGAAAATCCTCACTGGTTTGTGGCAGAACACCAAAGATAAAGCCTCACCTGGTTCATCCCGTGAGCCGTAGTCTCGAGATCCTGCGGAACAGAAGAGAGGACGGGGAGGGGAACTTTAATAAAAGAGGTTCCGAAGACCTGCCCAGACTTTTTCCACACAGTAATTAACTTCCATCCTACCGATGCATAATGATAAACTTTTAACAAAAGTCCATGTTTACAGCTTCCTGATGGGTGTTCTCATACCGTTGCATCACATACCAATACCTTGCAACAAGTGAATTGTTCTGGTTTTTCTCTTTTTGAGTTTATACCAGAAATGAAAACCACCACAAATGTCTCCAGTTTAAGTTTTCCTTCCTTCGTCCTGGGAACACCTTTGTCATTTACAATCAAACCTCGTCTTCATGCAGCAATACCATTATTTTACAACTCAAGCTCCAAGCTCTTTACCATATCTGAAGTCAGTTATGAGAGACAGTATTAGGTGGAGTCCCTTGGGATTCTGGACATGGAAATGGTGGCATTCACTGAGTTTCTTTTACCTTTAACCCCCTCTTGTTTTTTTTATTCTTTCCTTTTTGTGCTAATTTAAGTTCTTTTCTCCCCCACCGACACAGTTCTGATGCTCGTCACTTACCACCGAAATTTTTGTAGCCACCACGGTCACCACCTCTGCAGAGGAAAAATTGGAGATATGATGGCTTTTCCTTTGTCCCAACTGAGAACTCAAAGCTCCCCTACATCCACACCAGTATGCACTCCTCCCAGGGTGTGCGACTATGGTGGAAATGTCTCACACGGGGAATGAGTTAGTCTTTGTCATTAAAGATCAATGAACAGACGACTAGTCGGCTCTGACTGCACAGGCAGACAAGTGAAGACAATCACATGTCGAAGGGTCACCGCTACAAAGAATTTGGACTTTTTTTTTTTCTTCTCTCGCTTCCTTTAAAAATTTCCTTTGAACCTGGCCAAATTGGATACCAAGAGCTGGAAAACCAGCTAAATTTTGCCGTCAAATCGAGGCCAAATTAACGTCAATGGGTGTCGCGAACAATGAGCAATCTTCCACCGAGTGCATTTATGAGATCCTTTAACTGAGGTCCAACTTTAAGTTCATTCACTCTGAACACCTGTAGTATGAAATGTAGATCCATGTTAACACAGTACACATGTTCGCCATTGTCAAACACACAACACTTGAATGAAACCTCTTGAATATACAACAGCTGAAGATGTGACCTGTGTCACACTTGGAGTTTCAATAGTTCAAAAACGTGTGGTCTCCATGGGGATGTACCAGCACTCTTTGGTAGAAATGGGAAGCACAAATAACTAAATGATCCTGGAGGCTTAGATCTGTCACACAGGAGCAGTGCTGACCAACAGGTGCTGCTTTAGGAAAACATTTTAATAGAAATGTTTGTCCAGTTCTGCTTGTGCAGCTTTTCGGTGATTTTTCCTCAACTTTTACATTTTGCAAGTTAAAAAAAAAAAAAGAAAAAAGAAGTTTACAGGGGGAAAAAAGCCCTACTTTGCCATTATATGGTGAAATGTGTCACCACCAGTTACCCTCGGGCCCGCCCGACACCGCTGCTCACACGGTGTAGCACCGATCAGCTGATCTGCATAATCTGGATACTGACTGCACTCCGGTGATGTAAATAAGTTATACCATGCAATGGAGAAAAGAAAAGAAAAAAAGGCTCCATCGTCTCCCAACCAAACAACATGTTTGATACCCCAAGACTTCCAAAGATTAAAAATACTATGAAGAAAGAAAGAAATGTGATGGGAAAAATAAAATAAAAATAAAGAAGTCAACCATGGCTGTAGACTGAACCAGAGCTTTCCAAATAACTGAAATGGTAACCGTGGAAATCCATCGGGCTGTTTAAGCTCCCCTCCAGGTTCATACTGCTGTTTGACCCATGTGAGCCAAACGGCTCATCTAATCACCATTTCGCTGAGCACCGATTTGATCCGAACGGCGACACAGGACCAACATCGGTAGTGCTAAAAAAAATTGTCAAATAAAAATATTCTGCAAGGCACGGGCACCAGGGGCACAAAGCAGATGACAGAAGATTATTACCTCCGTCAGCCTCAATAACATCTGGAGACTGAGTTTTTAAAAACAGTTTTACCAGTGTTGGCAGGAGCAAAAAGCTGATGAGTAGTGGAAACCCACCTACGTGGATGACTTTTAACTGGGTGATAATGTATTAAGTGACAGGTCTGGACTTGCAATATATAGAGGTACCTTGGGGGCAGTGGCACTGTGCAACTTACCCCATACCAGGAGGTCCACCTCTGCCACCGCGATCATATCCACCACGGTCGTATCCACCGCTGCGGTCATATCCACCACGCTCATAGCCAGCGCCACCACCGCGGCCTCGACCTCTGAAGCCACCGCCTCCTCCTTCTGAGCGATCTCCCTGGTCACGCCCAAACCTCCCACCCTGTGCTCCCCCTTCACCTAATGCAAGAAGAGTATACACTAGCTTACTCCGCAGTTAAACTCAGACTTAATCTCAAACGCCATACCGATTTTTCGTATTCAAGATCAAGCTATGTGTACCTTCGCTCCATCTCCCATAGCCAGTGCCACCACCACCACCAGCTCCTTGCCCCTGGCCACTGCCATATGTACTGCCGGCCTGTCCACCATAGGAGGCTTGCTGTCCATAGGTGTCACCTGCTTGCCCCTGGCCACCATATGAGCCTTGTTGTCCATAAGAACTTTGCTGGCCATAAGACGCAGATCCTGGCTGGCTGTAAGCTGGTTTGTCACCATACCTTGATTTCAGAGAAGCAGTGCAGAATAGTTAAAACTCTTGTGTAGCTTTTTTAAAAACCAGAGAGAATAAAAGGAAAGCTGGGCAACAAGCACCAGTTAAGAATGTGAAAACATACCCGGACGAATCCTGTCCATAACTACTGTAATTCTGTTGAGTTTGACCATAACCTTCTGTGAAAATAGAGAAAAATCATTCGGTTTCTCATACGTGTTCTTTTTGCTCCCCTGAGAACACAAATCCAAATCGGGAGTTTTAGTCTTCTTAAAAGAAGGGAAGAACCTGCTCCTACTCTCATGTTTCTCAGCATTATGGGGAAAAAATGTTCATTGGGTCTTTCAAATCTCTCCTAAATAATATTGTATTCATTATACAATAAATCAACCACTCAGCTCTTAAAGATTTCCCTCCAAATAAATCAACTCTACCTTGTGTGGGACCTTGTTGTCCATATCCAGGATAAGTCTGTGCACCGTAAGCGCTGCTTCCACCAGCACTGCCACTGCCGTTGCCTTGTCCATAACCCTGTCATACAGTCAAGATAGATCAGCCATTGTTGAATAATGCTTACATCCTGTAAGTTGAAAGAAAAGAAAAAAAAAGCTGCCCCACCTGTCCGCCTGGTTGACCTCCATATGAGCCATAGCTGCAGACAGAGAAAAAAGGTTATTTTGTTTAGTTTTTTAATGTAGTGCAACACCACATCTCTATTTTGAAGTCAACAATCGTTTCTTTCTACGATATATATTCGTTTAAAAATATTCGTCAGCTATTCATCAAATTCATCAGTGCTTTTTATTAGCCACCGTCATTGATAAATTATTACCTTTGTGAGCCACCGTAGCCCGAATCTGGAAAATAAACAAAAAAGGGGTTAAAATTTGGTACATAAATAGCTCCATAAAAAACAACAACTTTGGGTTTTATTTCTAGAACATCATCCGTGATATGTTGGTGACCATAAAGCCAAGATGACTGTTAAGTAGGTCACTAAAGTAGGCCGGGAGCACGCCAACAGGCCTGTCGCCAGGCAGATCCACAGAAAATGGCGGTCGATTGTGCGCTAGCTAAGAATACATGTGTAATACTAAACATAGCACGGTCCCCTTCTTTAATCGTTTTAACTTGAATCAGTCGCAAGTTATTAACAATCTATCGATCTTGTTGCAATTAGCCAGGGATCTTGGCGGTGCTTTTCAAGCAATAAGCCCAACAAGAATATGTCCATAAACAAAGACGCATTCACGTCATGTTTGTTAAGGGCCTTCCCAGCATTCTCTGCACATTACGACATTTACAAAATAATTCGTTTAAAATAAACATAACAGAAACACATTAAATAAAGCATAAAGTTAATTTCTGCTGTTGAAAAGATCGACTAAATATTCAATTTAATAGACGGCGCCGCTTTGCTAGCCTCACGGTTCGTGCTAACCGCCGCAGCACCGTGCAATTTCCTTTGCGCAACTAAAACAAATAAAACGCAGAAGCAGATAATCAACAATATGCACTTACCAGTGGCCATTTCTCCACGCTATCTAGTTTTTGTTTTTAAAAACGTTGTTGTTTTTCTCCTGTGCCGGGCTAATTAAAAGGCGCTACTTTAGCTAACGCAGCGCCACAGGACTAAGGTGCACGCGCTGCGGCACTTCCCTTTAGCAATTGGTTCTTCTTCTACTTCCTGCAGTCTACACCAGAGATATCATTCTAAGCCGGAGCTCATTACCGCCGCCAGCTGTTACCACGGACTGGCGCAAACAAACGAGCCACTGGTACTCATAAAGTTGCATTAAGACGCGTCTTTTCTCACTGCTATCTGAAAATAGTTATTTTTTTAAGCATCAAGCTCAACAAAAGACTGTCCTTCACATATCACACTGTGAATGAGTTTGTTTTGAATTAGTTGTACATGTTAACTTATTTCATCACATTTCAAAGACGCTATTACCCCAGCAGTCTGTCAATTGTAATAATTGCCTATCCTCACATGCAGATGCCTCGTAAGGACTTTTAAAAAATGTGGTCGTAGAAAAAAAAAGAATATTGTCTGCTGAATACATTCCTGTTGGATTGTGACCTTTAAATCTATGGTCTGTTGAAAAAGTCTACCAATACAAAAACTTATATTCTGAGAAATCTCCAATCATTACCTGGACAATGCCTCCACCCAACACAAGTATTTTAGTCTTGAATGCTTTCTCTTCGACAAAATCTTTTGGTTTCCACAAGTTCTGGTAAGCATTTTTTTTTTACACTGGGAATTTAATGCCATGTTGTCTTTTCAACGCATCATTTTAAGGCAGTTAGAGGTTGCCAGGATGCAGAGTGGAAGGAAAGCAAGGGCAGAGAAAGAGAAACATGACAGAAATACAAAGAAAATCTGTAGAAGAAAAAAAAAACAGAGACTTGCAACAAAACATCACTCTTTGGCCTCCATGGCTAAAACACAATCAGGAGCACAACCAGTTCAATGGTGGGCCGTTACTCTTTCTTTTCACTACATCTTGTTACATTGAAGAAATGAGGATAGAGGCTGCTCCACTTAAACATGAACACACTGCAGCCCTGTGTGATCTCTGTACGCCAGTATTACTGAAAGTCATGTCCAACAATAAAAGGCAAACAGATGCTTGAGCAACCAGAGAGCTGAATATACTTTAATGTTTGCTAAACATTTGGTTCTGGGTCCGCTTTACACACAGCAGCACATCGTTTGGTTGGTTACTTTTAAAGTTGTTCACATCTTTGAAAATCACAGTTTATTTTCAAGAAAGACATAATTCCAACAAATTAGTCCAATTTTATTTGTTTTTAAAAAAAAGCATGCCTCCATACAATTAATTACATTTATAAAGTATAACTGCAGAAAGTGACTGCGCTGGGTAAAGTGTCTCAGAGGGATTCAATTTATTTTCAATGAAAATCTAAACATGGAATAGAACTGTTAAAAGACAACAAACTGTCATGGTTTCAATGCTAATTTCTTACATAAGGCAGTGTTAAAAAGGCACCGGCAGCACTCCAACAGGTCGGCTGAGCTCTGATTGACAGTTGGTTGGAAACATACAAAATTTACATTTGTGTGTGGTCTTTTGTTTCTTTTTTTCCATGGTGGCAAATGGGTAATAAAAAAACAACCCAACTCAGAATGAAACAGGCGAGGTTGTGTCGTCAGTTTAACTCATACTCCTCTGCTGGCAGATGCATGAAAATCAAACAGTATTTCGGGGGCCGTGACCTGATATTGAATCTAGCCTTTAAACTACTTTAACATTTCACAAATATCACAGGATTTCAAACTATTTTCCTCGTGTTCCAAAGCAAGCTTTTGATGAAAACAAAATGCACATAATCTCATGGTTCTTTAAAAATCTTTGACCATCCCCCAGCGCCTCTAAGGTAATTGTTGCTAATAAAAAAACATTTCAGCAACTTATGCATAAAAAGGCCCACTCCCTTGTCACTGGTAGACATAACTGTACCTATGGTGCCAGCTGTTGACACTTAGAATTTTCCTCAGACGCATTTAGAAGGATCTTACGAGTTTTCAGCACTTCTTAAGTGCTAATAACGCAGCACAGAAGGAAAAGTGAAAGAAGCACCCTCTCCTGTCAAAGCTGCTCTGAACACTGCAGCAGGAGCACACAACCCTCCACATCTCCTCCTACTTGATGCCACGATGTCCCAGGTGTTGTGACATGAAGTCTGATCAAAACCACATCTAAAACAAAACAACCTATTTCTGTATTTATTGCTATGATCTGAAAATGGTTGCGGGGATTTCAAACCAGCAGATTTTTTACTTTTACCTCAAAGCTCTTGAAGAGCTGGAGAAAACATCCTGTTACAATATCTTGTTTGATTATTCATTTCAGAGACATTCGATGGTCTCTGGTAACTACAGAGAAAAAAACCGTTGCAGACTTGTTGAATGCTGAGGTAGGGTGTGCCTCATGATTCTCTGCTACATGTAGCCCTCATGAACCTTGGTAAGTATGAGCCAGAGATGAATGTTGTTGCATTCAGTACTGAACAAGACAGTAAAAATAGAAACTTTAAAAACTACCACTTTAGCAGTAAAGAGTGAGACTGGATCTGAGGTTCTCTAACTCCACACGTCTTGTGAGTAGCGTCCCTTGGTCATCAGTTTCTTGACATAATCTGTGGCCTGAGTGCGCGTCATGCCTCCCACTTCCTCTGCGATCTCATGGAAAGCCGTCTGCACGTCCTTAGCCATGTGACTTGCATCCCTGACAGGGGAAAAATATAGTTTTAATTAAACGATAGGAAAGGTAAGACATCTCAATTCTTTTTTAAGACAGTTAAAACCACTCGTACTTTAACAAAGAGGCTTTTTCTTTCGAATGATTCCTAACAAACACAACCAACCATAATTCAAACCATAATTCAGTATTTTTTCAAAAACAGAAACCGTCAAAGGTCTCCCTGCAGACGGACTGTGCTCATTACCCGCAGACGTAGATATGAGCATTGTCCGAGTGAATCAGCTTCCAGAGGTCTTCCTTGTTTTTCTTCAGGAGATGCTGCACGTACACCTTCAAGTTTGGAGAGCAGAAAGAGGAAAAGTTTAACAACTCGCACATACTGGATGATTCAGCATAGTGTTTGGAAATGTTCTGCAAAAACAAAAAATACATCAACACCAGTGATGCTCTATTCAAACCAGGACAATGAAATCTTCGCTCTGCTAAAAACATGTTTTGAAAGTTTTTAAATTGGCATTTGCCAGCTTAGAAGGCAAATGTGCCCCTTGAGGAAGAAGCTCTCACTTTTTGCTCCTGGTCTCTGGAGAAGGCCACATTGAGTTGTGTTAAGACTACGTTCTTCTCTGCTTCCTCCAGCTCCTCCTGGTAAATAAAGTCCTCGTTCTTGTGTCTGCAGCCGAAGTACAACACTGTCTCTCCGACCTCCTTACCTACGGAAAAGAGAGCAGGAAACAGGTCAGTGACTCAAAATTAGTTAGTCACAACGCGAGACACAAAGTGACAACGTGTTTCTCAGTGCGTCATCCTGTTGAGCCCAGTGAGATGCAGAGGGTCAGAATACTGCCAGACAGTCCTAAGCCTGCACCTTTAAATCACATTCGAGAACATTTGTGCATCATCCATCAGGTCTAAGACATAATCAGCTGGATCTTTAAAAGGAAATTAATGTGAATCATTAGCTACAAAAAAGCACCCAACAAATAAATCCATTATTAGTGCCTAGATTTCCTGCGTGGTCATCACTTATGAGCTGCTTTTTTCCTTTTTTTTTCGTTTTTTTTTTTAGGTGAATAAAGACATGAAGGAAAACCCATGTTTGGTGGTCTTTTACATCCGTTTCCTCCCCATAAATCAGAAAAACAAAACAGCGCACACATGATAGACACCTTGCTGCTTGAGCCAGCCTCTCTCCTGGATAAAGCCGACGAATGGAGCGATTCCAGTCCCGGGCCCGATCATGACCACGGGGTTGGTGGCTTTGAAAGGCAGGCGGAACTGGGACTTGCGGATGTACATGGGAACAGTTGACTTGTGGCCGTTCACTAGCTTGTTTTTCAGCCAGTTGGTAGCAACTCCTTTGTTGACGCGACCTGTCTTGGTCTCGTACTCCACCACCACGGCACAGATGTGGATGCTGTTTGGGTGAACCTACAAAAGAGTTACGGACAGCTCACATAAGACCGCCGTTGGGTATCTTCTACGAGAACATGGATTTTAATCATATGTCTATTCTCTGCTGTTTGGAGGATTTCATCATTTTACTTTAGAGGAGGAGGCGATGGAATAGTAGCGCGCCTGGAGACGAGGCAGCAGCTCACACAGGTGGTCAATGGGAGGCTTCAAAGAGGGCATATCTTCCAGGATGGCGAGTATGTTTCTGCTGGAGTCCAAGACCCAGCTCTGGTAGAGAGCCTGTGGAAAGACAAGAAAATGATGAGATACATTTTAAGAAAAGAAAAATGAAAACACTGGCAGTCTCCCCTGCAGGGAGCCCAGTAATGATTGATTTCGGGCCGCCTGTAAACTGACTTTGCCCTCAGGGGAGGAGGACGCCATCTTGCGCATGTTCTCCTGTTCTTTGGTGTCGGAGGCGTACTGAGCCAGCTCATACAGGACGTTGGTGCGAGGAGAGTTAGTAATGTCCAAGTAGTGAGTGAGGGCCGTGCGGTAGGTGGTGGGACAGGGGAAAGGGTGCTTCTTGTTTGACTCCTCTGAAAAATAAAAAGTATTTTATCAAACACGTGGAAACCCAAACTTTTTTGTTTTCTCTGATGACATTTCAATTTTTACCAAATACCAAAAATATACAAATGATCAAAACAAATTCTTTAAGTCAGATAATTTACTGACGGAGAGCACCGTCACCCCCTCTACATAATCACATTATGGCAGACAACCTTCATAGCGACAGAGAACTCAAAGAAAAATAAATAATAATAATAATAATCTGTATCGTTATGACATTATAATGCACTAAGATCACACTATCTGAGTCACATGTATTAAGTGAGGTGATACTGCAGTACATATCTATGAATGATTTCATGAGACTGTTTGTGGGGGGGGCTTGTGAGGCCAAAGTGCTTTGGGCTGTCAATGCCATACCATCAAGGTTGTTGAGAGAGATAACAACATCAAGGTCCACGCCAAGAACCTCTCCCAGCCTATTCACCAACCCAGTGTCATTTGTGGGGAAAACAGCAACGTGGTCTCCTGACTCATATCTGAAAGATATCCAGAGTGGGAAAAATTTAGACTTTGCCCACCATTCCTTAGGTTTGATGGTAGTTTCAAAGGGTGTTTTTTCTAGTTTGGCAACATCCGGGGTATCACATCCACATCCTGCCAGGTCTACCTGATCTTGGAACCTGTGATGTCCAGCTCCAGGTGCATAAGATGCCGGTCACCAGCTTTGTTGAGTCTGCGGTTGACAGTGACTGGGGCCAGGAAAGGGTTTTTAGAATCAAAGGGCCTGCAAGGACGAGTAACAAAAAAAAGACACGTACTAATTATTCTATTATTAGAAAGATGGAGCTCAGCTGAATTATTAGGCAGAAATGTAAAAATGTTAAAACAAAAAAAAGATGTGGATCCCTTTTTTAAATTACCTAACAAAAACAAGCTGGAATCATTTCATTGAAAGGGCCACAGGGGGGCAGAAATTTTCATTTACAGTCAGTCAGTGAATCATAGTGAACTTTGTGGCAGTACTAATGTAGTTCAAAGGGGAAGAGTGACTAAGCAGACAACGAAGTGAGGGAGTGTTTGGTACAGGACTTACGGCTTTTGGACCTCAAAACTCTTCAGGCGGCCAATCTCCCCCGAGTAGACTTTGTTCATGTTGAGGTCGGTGTGCACCTTCAGCTCGTACTGTCGGATGCTGGACCAGACAAGTCAAGTTAGACTCAGCAAAATACACTGGATACAAAGGGCATTCAAATGAATCGGAAAAGGGTGGCAGTTATATTATAAACAGCAGGTCGAGAGCATGTTTAAAACATGTTTTCTTTCAGGTAACAGCGAAAATGTACAAAGAAAAATACTGATATGATAAACGGCTTTAGAACATCAGATAACCATCTGTTTACCTCGAATCATCTCCTGACGCCTCCACTCCGAAATGTTCACACACAGCAGGCCAGAACTGCTCCCTCCATGAAATAAAGTCCTCTTCCAGGCTGAAAACCACAGATATGGTGTTTGAATGAACACATGTTCCACCTGATCACAGCGGCTTTCGTAGACCTTCTCTATAAGAAAAACTGCACAATGTCTGTAAAGAACTCTATGAAACTTCAAGACATGATTTTGGATACTCTGATCAGACAATGGTTAAATGAGGTGAACACAACGCACTGTAATCAGGTTAAAACATTTTACATTCATGCCGTTTTAAACTCGTGGTAAAGGAGGGGTCACCTACTTGCCATCGTCGTCTCCCATACCGAGATCAAAGATTCGCTTGGCACCCAGCTCTGCTAGCCTTTTGTCCACATACTTTCCCATTGCGTTGTAGTGCTCATATGTCTTGTTGCCCAAAGCAAACACCTGGATGTAGACAAGGACAGAATAATCAAACGCATTAGTGGATACTTCTGGCAGAGAATGGACCCTATCGAGTTATTCCATGTATTCCTCTCTAAGAATCCTGTTCAGGGTGGTTGGACTTCATGTGAATTTTCAGGCAATCTTAAAATCAGAGAGTGAAAGATTTCCATTTAAGAAGACACAGATGAAACAGTGCCAAACAGACAAAACTAAGTAGATTTCCTTTTCATTTATACAGACTTCACAATGTCACAATGACGCATACAACACAACGGCGCACAAAGCAAAACTCACTTTGTGCTTCTAAAGCCTGCATTGCAATTTAGAAAAAGCTGAAATGTGGACAACTCATCACGTCATCTGATTCAAATGTCCAAAGGATATTACTTATGACTCTTTGCTAAATGCTAAGTGACCTGACCATTAGTACAGAGGCTGGCTACACAGCATGGGAACGTTTATCCATGTGGTCAGCTCTGATGATGGGGTTTTGGTCAGACTCTGGCTTCTTTTTTTGCACTTTAAATCACAACAATTTCAACGCAGTGAAGTGAGCTATGACATCTCTTCAGGCAAAACATATGCCGTGACAGGAACTCGTCTGACAGGAAGGGACATGCACGCCTGTACGTTGAACAGTTTGTAGAGGGGAAAAATGTGCACACTAAGCTTTGTGTGTCAGGTTCAACCCTGTCTACCAATAACGGCCTTGAACAGGCCTTTTCACACATGGCCACACTCACGGTGTAGTTTAGTCCGGAGAGGTCTTCGTCATCATTCTCCTGCAGCCAGTCATAGAAGTCCTGAGCGTTATCTGTTGGGTCTCCTTCGCCGTAGGTTGCCATGCAAAATATGGCGAGGGAGTTTTCAATCTCAGACAGACGGGAAAGTTCCCCCTATACAATGACAGCACAAGAAGAGGACACAATAAGGACCACAAAACTCATCGATTTGGGTTACTCCCTCATCAAGAAGAGGAACTATAACAAATCAAAAACTGTCATAAATCCATTTACAGGTTCCTTACAGTGTGAAGCAATGCACTGAATTCAATTTGAATAAGTTATTTTAAAGTTCTGTTTCCAGACAACTGACTTTTAAGACAAAGATGTCTTCAGCAGCCCAGTAATAATGAATGATGACAACCGTAGTTCCTTTTTTCAAACAGGTGTGTAAAATGCTCCCCTGAAGTATATTACCATGCTATATTCCTCTGGATCAGCAGCCATTCCCTTCATGCCGTAGCGCTGAGCGTCTTTGGACAGTCTGTTTGCAAACTCTTCTGCTGTACCCGTCTGGGACCCATAGAAGACGATGATGTTCTTTCCCTGTCCACAAATGTAGAAAAAAAAATTCATCCACAAGCTTCTGCCACCTCCATTACATGCCTTCCTTGTGTCTAATGTTTTCATGGTTTTTATATCATATATTTACATTATCAAAACAAAAAGAAGGGTGGAGTAAGAATTGCAGTTTACCTAAATCAACTATTCTGTACAGATTTCTTCTTGATATGATATTCTGTAATTGTAAATTACAGCATAAGCATACACTGCTGCTATAATACTTCCTGACAAAAGGAAAAACATGAAAAGAAACTGAAGCCTTTTCAGCGGTCATTGTGGTATCTGAGAAATTGGATGTAAAAAGGCCTCTGGCTTGAGAACTAAAGACCATGAAAGGCAAAAGAGTGTTTTGAAATCTAAAGCTTTTTGTGGTCAAATTAGCAGGGTGACCATCACAGCTGTCACGTTGACTTTCTAGGCAAACTTAAAAGCAAAGCTACATTTAGTCCCATATGATTGATGATTTTCAATCAAGCAATGGTAAGAAAGAAAAAAAAATTGGGGGTTTTTCATCTTTGTTTGGTGAAGAGAACAATCAAAGCTGATCATCTGTCACAGATGTTTCAGTATAAGACTGAATGGTTCATGCCAATTTTAACATTTCAATCAACAGCAGGAAAAATGGCGCTGAAGTTATTTGCCGGTGATGGTAAAGCTGATAGCAGAAATTAATGAAAAAGATAGAGTAGACTAACAAGGAAGCAATATCACTCACAGTTTTCTTCATTTTCTCAATGAAACTCGTCTCTCGTGTGGTGGGTGCTCTGGAAAAAGGAAGGAAAAAAAGTTTCCTATCAAGTTGGTGTTGATCCAACTTCAAACCGGTCGTACATGAGATAAGTGGGCGTGATTGGCCCAACATGGGCACAGGGGAATTTAAATGAAGTCAGCCAGATTGGTCCATTTGCTGAAATTTTTTGTTATGTAGAGATAAAAGTCGTCTCCATGTCTGAGTCCAGGTCACACCAGCAGTATGTTACTTAGGTGCAAAACATCATTACCGCCTTGACTTATCCAAAGGAAATCCAAAATTCACACAACACAACCATAGAACAGTTTAGCATTTAAAATTAGCAGAAGCTCAGAAAAGAACGCTGCGTGTTTTACTTGTATTATGTGTAGAAAATGATGGAATATTTCAAATAATCAATGTTAAGTTGAAAAACACATCTTTAAACCTCAATTTGAAGACATTTTTTGGTAGATTACTAAGGGCCTGTCCATCCCCACTTGGGCCTCTGCTTCTCAATGGTGCTCTTTATATTCCTAATTATGTTAGTTCCACGTAGCCAGTTAGGTGCAACATGTTTATTCACCCATTTCTTTTTAGCACCAATTGCTTTCCCAGAATTTTGCTGCTTAAAATTTTTGTTCCGTTTTAAAATGTTATATCAATCAAATCCAAGGCGATTTCAGATTTTTTTTCTAAAATACATATAAAAAGTAACAGTGGTAAACCTTTCACACGGCAACAGGACAGTTAACTTAAGGGCATCTAGATTGACAGTAATCTCTAGATCTGCACTTTTATGCACGTTCTAATGGCCAATATGTCTGTTGATTTTAGATTAGAGGTTTTATCTTTTACCAGCCAATGCTCGTTCTAGTGGGGTGCTCTAAAGCTATTAAAGTTCAGAGTCAGAACATGAAAAATCAAAGATTTACAGCACAAGTGAAGGACGTGGAAAGCAATCAAAGACAGAGCAGCTGCTGTGAATAACAATGATTTAACTAAAGACTACAACTACCTGATCAGTCTCAGATGACGAGTTTAATGACAAAAAAAGGAGGTCTAAACTCTAGGGGCTGTACTTCTCATCAATTCAAAATTTAGATACAGATGTAAACAGGACATAATTCATTAACCCAATCAGATGAAACTGTGTTAACACATTGTCAGTTGAATGAGAAATAGATTATTGTTTTGTTTTGCTAAATGAAAGGCCACGCCGCTTCATTCAGCATCAAAGCACAGATCAGACACCTGCGTTTGTGACCACATTGATGAAGGAATACGACAACTGCCCGCATAACCACATGTGAATGCATCTTCTGATTTTCACCTTAGTGAGGTCACAACCAAAAATTGGGATTTAAGCTTAAATAGAGCCAGTATGGCAGTACAGTCCATTTGGCTTAGACACAAATTAAATAGCTGTAAAATTGCAACCTCTGGTGGGCCCATTAGGGAAAGAAAGAAACATTAACATTAACATGCAGAAACTAGGACCTGTGGAACAAAATGTACCATAAAAACTAGCTCTGCGGTTAAAACCGCTCTCTGGATCTAAATGTACATTTCTGATCCAAAACTGAAGCCAGTTGAAACATTCAGGACCGCTAAAATGGAAGACACTCGGAAAAAAATCAGGACTGCAACTAAAACAAAAACGGATATTCTCAGATGATGACAATTTCAGACTTTTCAGACTTTTAACGGCATTGAGAAGCAAATGAATGAGCGGTGACACACTGGTGTTGGTGGATTTTTAAAAAAAGGCTAACATCATTTCCTACAGGTCCGTGTTTACAAGTCAGGATGTTTTCTCTTTGGTATTTCAAAAACAAGAATGCTGGAACAAAGGGAGCAACAACATGAACGCTAGATTTGAAAATCGGCATTAAAAAACAAACAAACAAAAAAATATATAATCTTGGCATTCTGAAATGAAGTTTATTGGACTTTATTGTTGTTCAGTGGAGCTTATCCCAGCTGACAAACGGCAAGAGTTAAACCAGCCAAATATCTTACATTAGTTCAAGAAATGACCTCAGTTTGGTTCTCTGGTGTACAACGTGTTCTCCAGAGAATTCAAATGTACCAAATATCTATGCTGGTAACAGAGGCTGTTGATGAGTTTGTTTTCTAGCCCGTATATTTTCCACATGTTCATTAATACTGCCAAAACACATAACGGACTGACAAACACAACAGTCACCAAGAATAAAGCAGCGTTTTCCCAGCATTCCTCTGGAATCATGTCTTGTTCTACACAGCTGGGGAACTTTTTCACCATCAGTATGTGTGAACAGATAACAACGGACTGAGTCACTTTAAAAGGTTGCCGTTTGAAAAATTCAGTTCTTTTTTTCCCCTCTGAACTGTAGGGTTCAAATGAGCCAGCACGTTTGTGAGGCAACATTGAAACGTCAAGCCAAGTTTGTTTCGTGATCAAGATCAAACAATGCTGGAAAAGTGCACGTGGCCAGAGCGGTAAATGATTAAGCTTGGGAGAAGAGGGGAGAGAAAAACAGAACACTTTATTATTACATTATTAAAACTGTGTTACCAGTCAAGCAGATTGTATCTCCATCTCTTGCATAACCGCCTGGGAACACTGCGTTTTTTTTTTCTGTCATCTTATTGCTAAAACAACAAATGTGTTTTTGTGTGTTGCTTGAGTTGGGAATATTTGTCTAAAACATGGCCTGAAAGCATTCAAACTTTGATTTTTGCTGTCAAACTGTCGGTTTAACTGTAGCATCATAAACCTGCTTCTGAGCAGGAATTTAAAGACTGTACTGACCTCTCGGCAGCATCTCTCCCGTCCTCTGGCAGCGAGAAGACGCAGCCCATGACATGCAGCCCTGTAGATCGCCACTTCCACTAGCACTGCCTGGTTAAGCAGAGCCAGACACCACCGCTCGCAAAGTCTAAATCAGCACTCCACAACCGCAGGATGGATAAGTACCATCAGTCCAGACGGGCGGCTGGGTTTTTGCGAGGCTTGAAGCGCTGCCTGCGTCCACCTCAAAGGCTCCAGCAGGATCTGAATCCTGCCTCTCGCTGTGCTGCTCTGGGAAAAGCCAGCAGCGTCTGCTCTCCACACACACACAAACACGACAGCCTCCAGCCTTGTCGCTGTCTGGCAAGCGCGGAGAACACAATGGTGGGAAACTGACTTTCCCATAAAATGTAGCCGAGCTGCAGACCCACAACTTTCAACACACGCTGAAATGATCATGAGCTGGAAATGCCTTACTCCTCATCCCCGCCCCTTTTCCTCTCCAGTGTGAAAGGTGTTGGGAAGGAAAAAGTATACAAGATCCATTCTGAGAACTTGGCGAGTTAACAGAGCAACTCCTCGGTGGATCATTAAGGGGGAAGAGCTGTGAAGGTTTTTCTTTTTTTTGTTTTGTTTTGACTTGTCTTGTTTTTTTGTCTAATGTATCCCAGCCCCCACCACTGGAGGAGAGAGGGGAATGTCATTGCCATGGCAACCTCATTTATCATAAAAGGATTCCATTTGTGACATCGCCCAATGGCGGAGCAGCTCAGCCTTGACGCACACACAAAAAGAAAGGGGGAAAAAAGCAGGAGAGTGAGGAGAGAAAAATGAATAAAGTATTAGAGCAAAGAAAGAGCTGCTTGTCTTTTGCCTCAACTTTCCACCTTTGGAGAGGGCTTACAAAAGAAACTTGGCTCAGTCTCCAGGAACTTTCAAAATGGGTTCAGGGACAAAAAACAAAAGCACAGGAAAGCCTTGGAAGACTACACCCCCTACACAAGTTAGGTAACTGCTGCCCCTTTAAGGGGAGGGGAGACCAACTTGAGTGGCTGAGCCTTTCCTGAATCCCTTCCCTCCAGAGAGCTTGCATGTTCAAACGGCAAACTATTTTCTCCTCTGCTCTTTCCCACGTCTGGATAAAGTTTTTCAAACACGCGGTCAGGACACCCCTCACACAGTCTGTGTCCATTAACGCAATCACATAGTCAGTGAGGCTGCCGCTGGCAGGGCTGTTTTTCCCCCCCAGAAACAAAAAAAACATGGTGGGTTGGGGAGGGACTAAGATTGTCTGTAGTACAACGAGAAGCGGCTGTAATCAAGCCGACACTCAGCTGAGTTTGTGAAAGAGAGGGAAGAGGAGGCTGCGAGGAAACAAAGGTCAGTGTGGTGAAACATTTTACCAGCCTGAACCCGTGCACTCTCACACACTTGCTTCAAAGGCTTTACAGTGACAGACTGCCATGGCCAGCACTTCTGTCGGGGTCGCCATGAGAAGGGGGTTTGCTTCTTGAGACACACTCCTGCGGTTGCTCTGTAACGTAACCGCATTCAAGACGGCCAAGGTTTCTGCGGCCCCAGTTGACTGGTAGGTTCCCCAGGGCTCGGAGCATTTCATTTCTTCAACAGCGGTTTTAGCTAGAGCAATAATGGCTACTATTCTAATGAGAAACCAAAAGGCTGTTTATCAGAAAATGTCTTTTTAAGCCATGGTGTGAAAATCTCTCTTTATATAGCCATTATCCAAGTTCCTTGTAAGAACTGTTTAAGTCCAACCCAAAAACAATGAGGCTCTCGGCTAGTTGAAGCGAGTGATCTCGTCAATTTGGGTAAAGATTTTTTGGGATGAAAAAAAAATGTTTCGCCCTATTGAAGGCTAGACAGCCCAGTCAATGAAACACAAAGATCAATAGTAAAGCTTAAAGAACCCTTATGCACATAAAAGATTCACTATAAAGATTTTCAAAGCTGAGAGCGCAGTAGGGCTGAACGCTGCCGTTGTGGTTAGTCACACAACAAGAAGGTTCCTGGTTCCAATCTCAGCCTTTCTCTGTGTGGTGTGTATGGGTGGGTTCTCCCTGGCTACTTTGGCCAAAAAATGTGTTTGATAAAGTAGCAACTCTAAATTGCCCTTAATGCTCCCCTTTTCTAACCCAACAGTTGGGACAGATTTTGATCTTTGGGCTGAACTTGAGTCTTTTTATCCCACTCTTTAACGTTCTGATGTGATATTTCAAGTCCCCTATAAATAAAACAACTAAGGAACAAAATACAAAACCTGATAAACACTCACGGTGTGTCAAGCTTCTTAAACTCGGGGATGGGCTCTGGCTTCTTACGGGACATGAACCAATAAATGATGATGCCGATAATCAAGGAGAAGAGGAAGAGGTCCAGGTTGCTGAAAAAGGGCTCCTCTTCCTCCACCATGGCCTCGGTGTGGGTGGCACTCTCAGGGTCCATCTCTGCCATGACGACGCTGCACAGAAATATATATCAGTTTTTTTAAAGTTACATTTAGATAAATATTTACAGTTTAAAGTTAAATTAAAGTTTTTCTTTTGGACAATTGGAATAAACAAAGATTACAAAAACAAGTACTAAAAGTCTTGACTTTCTGGGGATGGATATCTAATCATAGTTCTTAGTAAAATCAGCAGTCTGATGATTGTAAAATTGATTTCAATTTTACTAAACACATGCAAATAGCGTGTCATAAAAGTGATTAGGGTGCTTCACAGGGCATGATTATGAACATACGTCTGCAGAACATTTCACGCAAATCGGACACAACGAAGGCCTTTGTGCTCGAATCATGTGGACAATTGGCTTTAAATTTGGCTCCACAGAATATTGCATTGTTACCCACTGTTTTTGATGCGTGAGGAATTTCTTGTGGTGCATCCACAACATAAGCTCTTTTCACGTCGAGCACGAAAGCACATCGTGTTCTGAATACTCAGGTTTCAGTTTGGCCAGTTGACGAGAATACAGAGGTGTTCAGGTTTTCTCTAATCCCCGAACTTGGCGTGATCTCAAGTAAACAGTATAACAGAGACACTTAAAAAAAAAAAGAAAGAAAAACCCAGCTCTCCAGCAGAATGCCGGCTTGCACAAAAGCGAACTGCTGAATCACTGTCACGTCAAGCAAAGCACTTCATGATGAGCTGGGTGCCAACTCCTGTAGGAACAGAGCTCGCACTGCCTTCATGCTGAGTAGTGGTCATCCATGAAAGCCAAGAACGATAGAAACTGCCCTCAAATTCCTACAAAGAATCACTTACATGCCATATTATGTAAAAACCCTGTCTTATTTGATCTGAATGAAAACATTTTACCAAATTATATTAACAGTAGTAACATAGCTGTGTTTATACATTGTACTTTAAACTAACATGTAGCTACTGGTTTAACCTTTATACAGGTCTGCTACATATTCATGATAAAACATTTTACCAAATTATATTAACAGTAGTAACATAGCTGTGTTTATACATTGTACTATAAACTAACATGTAGCTACTGGTTTAACCTTTATACAGGTCTGCTACATTGTTACAGGTAGATTTAGGTACATACTCAGAAATTTTCCAAAACAATAGGAGCATTAAAGAACACATATTCAAAGACTATAAAAAAGATCTCTTTAGTGTAGTTGCTGGGAGAAAAAAAAAATAAACACCACAAAAAAGCACTATGATACACCCTTTTGAATAATGACAGTCCAACCTGAACACGACCCGTTAATGAACTCCAATTATGGCCACTGGAACATCTAATAGTAAGTGTAGAGAGCATAAAGACAACTTTTTCCACATGTAGTCTGAGGAGAAACAAAACAAACCCATGGGCACACACTGGCACAGAAAGAAACAGCCTAGAATTTCCGGTGTGTTACAAAACCTCCACAACTACTTTGTCTGACCTCCCTGCAGGAGCAATTAGCCGCTCAGAAAAAAATACACTGTTCAACAGTTGTTTCATAGCAACAACCAAAACACTCAAAACAGACTCGTGATCGAAGAGAGAAGGAATTATTGAAACTGTAACAATTATTCATCTTTCTGCTATGAAACATTAACGCAGAACGACAGAGTGAACGTGCGTTAAACACTTACAGCCCCGTTTCAGTTCCCTTTGACACAGAAGAGAGAACTCACCCAGATGACACTTATCGGTGACACAGCACATGTTTGACAAATTGTGCTGCTGACGAGCACGGCGTGATTTCAGGATCATGGGACACCGTTCAGTAGGTCGTTATTTAAGCCAAATAAAAGGGACCAGGCGGCTGTGTAGTCCTGTGATCCACCGTGAAGAGACAGATGCGGTCTCCTGCACATCGTCTGATCAAACAATTCAGAGCGTCCCAAACTTTATCGCCGAATGGATATCGCGTACTAACCAATATTGGGGCACTTATATCCACTGACACGTAAAGAGCTCCGGGTTACACGCCAGTTTTTCCCCTCTGTTCTACTCCATTATATGTCCCATCCGTCCAGCTGTACAGTAAAAGAAATCTGTTGGACAGCTAAAGCCAGAAAAAAAACCCGCTGGAGCGGGCTATGACTATGTCCTGGACCATGACAACATTGTCACATTGCATGTTGGTGTCCTGAATATTAGTCAGTTTACCGGCATAGTGCTGCTGCCTCTTGCACGCCTTGTAGAAAGCGTGTTAGTTACATTTCATAAGCGGTGGAGAAAGTGACTGACAAAAAAATAACCCCGGTTTGCGTAACACTGGAGCTACCACTTATCTAAAGCTAAACCTGCGTGTAAAAAAAAAAGCTTAATGTTACCTCCGTAAAATGAGTTTTTAGTGACGGCGCGGGTGTGTTACTGCTTCAGTTTCACCCCAGCAGACTGCCACAGACTACGGCTGACTGAAACAAGGCTTTAAATAAGAATTTGGTGTGATGCTTACCCCTCGCCTCTCGTCTTTGTGTCAGCCCCAGACTGCGCTGAATGCGGAAGGAAACTTTGCGCCATGTAGGATCAGACCATCTCCGCCCCATGTGCGGGGGAGGACCCTCACAGTGTGCAGGCAAAAAAACTTAGTCATGATTAACGTTTTGAGGAAGTTTCTGTTGTATGATTACACGAGGAAAATCGTGTTTAAATGCCTGTAGTTTTATAGTATTGAACGTCCATTGTTTAAATGTAAGTTGGATTAGTCCATAATAACGTCACGTATATGTAACCTGCGTAATTAAATAACTGTCAAGGTGCAGCAGGCGAAGGGTCACGGTTATGTAATTTAGCCAGCCGAAAAGGCTGAAAAGCATATTCATCAAACGTGTCCTTTCCTAGTTGAACAGTGATTATGTCCACAAAGCCAAGGACACGTGACTGATAGCCTAAGAACTTGTGGGATGCCCACGGTATAAACACATTAGAGATACAACGCTGACAATGTATTTAAACCATTTGCTTGTTGCACAACTGGACATGAAAGGAAGTAACATTCACTCAGGTGTTATAGATTCAAATTTAAAGTAAAATACACCCAAGGCTTCAACCAATCCCATCCTTTTTTTTATTTTTTCAACGGAAAGGGATCAGCCATTTCAATTATAGATGACGATTATATGCTGTTACATGGCCTAGACTTAAACGCTGCCCACTGACTATAGAAAAATATTCTATGAAGACACTGTAATGACTTTATTTCCAACTGTTAACTTAAACAACTGTACATATTCACAAAACAAGAGCACTTCCATCAAAGTCTAAGAAACTCCAATATCAGCATAGGTGTGGTTATGTGTGGAATTGTGGAAATATCAGTGTATGACAAGGGGATTTGCACAGCCGCATTTACACACAATGCCTGGAACAAAGTATCACCACATATATGTGGCTGTCTCAAGTTTGACAGTAGATTTGACTTCAAATCAAGTTTTGTCGCAGTTCATTTTTCAGTTGTTTGCTTTGCTAATATATTGTCAAAGTGGTTTCACTCCCAAAGTGTTTTTACTTCAAAGTGTTTTTACTGCTTGATTTTTTTATTTATCTTGAATCATTTAAACCCAAATGGTAAAACTAGTTTTAAAAAAATGTTTAGTGAGTTTAGAAACAAAATAGCACACCAGTACATTAATGAATTAAGCATAGATCCAACTTTTATTTAATTTTTCTTTTTTTTTTTTTACTTTACAAAAACTAACCAAAGGCCACAGCAAGCTTTAATGGTACCTTTGGCCAAAATAACAGCAAGACACAAGCAATCAGAAGAGAGATACACTATATTGTTATATGTTGTGCACAATCTGTTCAAACCATAGCATCTGTACATGTATAATGCAACAAGAATCACCAAACCTTAGAACTTTTCAGAACATGATAACTTTTATGCCATTTATCTCAGGTTGAATAGCCTCTATTTTGAAATGTATACTTTATGACAATTGTCTGTTAGTTGTCACTGATGGACACAAATAAAGCCAGGAATGAAAGGTCTTCATAAAACAAAACTCATGCTGAAATATTGAAAGGCAGAAAGCAAGAAGCATTTGGTTCTGGTAATTCAAAGCTGATATCTTAATGTAGTTAATACATATTTGTAATATTCATCAATGTCAAAGCAAGTTATGTGACTTAAGGCAACCCTGATATGAGCCGGCGTTTAAAGAGCTGTACCAGCTTTGTACAGACAATTCTTTTTCTAGAAATCACACTTTCTTTGATTTTTGATCTTTGGTCTTCATTTTCTGACGAACCACTGCAACAGTGGTGACGAAGTTTCCCACAAACAGAATAAGGAAGCAGAGCCCACACATTGTGACCTGGCATTGCACACAAGAGCACAGGAAAAATGCATGATTAGGCAAAACAGGAGTAAGTAAAAGTGTACTATCAGTTTTTTTTTTACATGGAGTTGGTCTTGAAAGACATGACACTTGAAAATATAGTATACCAAATGATGAGTGAATGGTGGGTACATTTCAGAATCGGAAATCAGAAATACTTTAAAAATCCCAGAGGGAAATCATTATGATAGATTTTACCATAAACAAACCCTAACTCTTACCTGCCATTCTTTGCAGTCTGGGAGCTGAGCCATTCTGAATAAAGATATGCCATTAAAGAGCTGCCAGAACTACAAAACAAAAGATGGAGGGGTTTATTTGGTTTAAAAGGGAATAGATGCAGTGCTGAAAATACAAAGATAAATACCATAAAACTGTTGAAATTACTGAATAACAGGAAACCTAGAAGTTGATCAGAACTTTTGTCCATCTTTATGTATCCCAAACCATAACAAAGGAGTTTTTCTTTAAGGGAAACTCATCTATTTCGAGAAACTTCTTTGCATCACAGACTGTACTCACATGACCAAAAAACAGGAAGGGCAAGAGGAACGTCAGCCCTTTCCACATCCAGGACTGGAATCCTTCTACAAAAAAGCAGAGGGCGTTCAAGAGCTCAATGGACATATTTTCTACTCTTTTAGGTGTTATGAATAAACAGATACCCCAGAGCTCCAGACAACCTGCATGGTTAGTCATTTTCATAATCATATTTGTGTCTGAGCTCATGCGTATTCTGTCTCCTCAGCAGATTTAGCTGTGTCTCACCCACAGTCAGATCCATGTTGTGTCTTTCCCCCAGAGTTCGCAGTCTGTACAGACATCCACTCTGATAGTAGCACTGCAAACACTGAACAAAACCTTTGGAGGGTTCCACATGACAGAAACATTCATCAGAATACGGAAACTCAGCTCTATAAGTGCAATTTGATTTTGTCAAATGACTTCGATCTTACTCTGATACAACGAGTAGGCGAGGAACTGATTCCTGAAGGTCTTGTACAAAATTCCATCCGGCCTACAGGATTGAAAAGATGGTTGCAATGTACTGGTCTAATAACATACGTTAAAATAATATTTGTACTCTTTTATTTGGGGTCTTTATTCTATTCAACTCACCATGTCAACATGACACCAGACAAAAAAGCTGAGATGTAGTGGTGAAAAACCCACCATCCTTTGATTCTGTTTCAACATAAACTAGTTTAGTTTTGATATTCCAGGTTGCTTGTCAGAACAAACACGTGAATATAGATTAATATAGTGAAAACTGAAATACAGATAAGTATGTCAGAAGACTGTAAATTATTCCAACCTGGAGCCGTTGGTGATCAGGATACTTTCTCTGATGGTTAGTGTACAATAATACCACACCAGCAGGAAATTGAGGATTGCATCAAGGAATCTAAAGGAAGTGGCATAGTCTTATTTGTATGTGGCACTTATATAATTCATTTTTGGTCAGTTGCGAAAGTTGAAGAAAACCCAGCTGTTTGGAATCACTACAAACTCCATATCATGCTTACTGTACCTGTAGCTCACAAAGAAATAGCAAATGAAAGAGAACAGTAGCAGGATGACTGTGAGGCACAGCTTGAATTTCTCATAGTCATCTTTGTAGGCGAACCTGTTGAGGATGCAGCATTTTGAGAACTTTAGACAAAACAAAACTAATAAAATAGTTTATCCAGATAACACACATCCAAATTTGTAACTTAAATAATCTTGTTGAGTAAAAGAACATCTGTAAATAAAAAAGGGCAAATTGAAAAAAAAGGCTAAATTGAAACATGTTAGTTTGAATGAATCAATGTGGGGTTGATATCTGGTGTCTGCAGGCTTTGAAGGACATTGCTTACTTTGACTGCTTGCTGAGAAGAGTGACGTTAACATTTCCAAGAACCAGTCTGAGGTACAATCTGTGATATAAAAACACGATCACATGTTGCTGTTGTTTCTGCCTGTAACTAAACTGTATGTGAGATTATTTCAGTGGACTGGTCATTACCCATTTTTCTTAGGAAGGAAAGCTTCCATTTCAGAGAAGTAATTTTGTCTTGTCTTGATTTTCTCTTTCAGTTCACACAGTTTCTTTAAATCTTCCTCCGATAATCCTTTGCTGCATCTGTTGAATTGAATTAGGAGAATTTGTACAATTTGCATAACATGGATAATTTACACTATGACCTCATTAGATCAGGGGATGGGTCCTAGTTTGTGATCTTACATATATAATCTATTTGTACATGCAACTTTGAATCTGTGGAAGTTTTGGGGCTACAAGTGGACATGCGTGCCTACTTTTTCTCGAGGTGGGACATCTCTTTAAGTCTTTTCCGCTGACTGGAAATAGATGAAGAGCAGCTGCTCTGCAGTTTTGAGAGCTCATCCAGTTTCTGTAAATACTTTTTATGTGTTTCCTGAAGGGGCATGAAAATACAGGATTATAATGAGCAATGTGACATAATGATTACAGGGAAAAAATCAAGGTGTGTTGGCTGATTATAATCAGGAGCGGAACCAAGATATCAGTCATAAATATATGCATTTATAACAGACTTTCTTCATCATGTTCATTAATGGAAGTGAAAAAATATCTGGTCAAAGAGGCACTATATTTAAAAAGACAGATTCACAATACTACATGCAAAGCAAGAATTGCTCTGTATAAATGATCAGCTACTGCCAGCCCAGTGTGGATAGCTTCTTACCTGAAGCTGATGATACTCGTCCTCCAGACACTTCCACTCCTCCAGAATATTTGTTAAACCTTGAGACATTCTGTGATTCTTTTACGCTTTTAGCAAAAACCCGATCTACTTGAAAAATCGTGGTACTTGTCAATTCTTTATCCAGCATGAGATGACAGAAAAAAAAACACATGCAGAGGTATCCTCGGGTGTGTATCACATCTCAAAGAACAGTTTATTGCGAGTACTGAACTTTGACTAGTGTTATCACGTACAAAGCAGAGAGAGATTGTGGCTGTTGTGTGTTATTATGCATTATGCAAAGACTGGAGGTCACCAGTTTCATCTTTGCCACAATTTGTGCTCGTAGTTAGATGGTGCTCTTATTTCAAATGACTACTTGAGCGTATATGTTTTTTCAACTATGATAAACAGCTGCACATTAGCCACATCTGGTGAGATAAATCTGTATCTTAGTAACTTTTCAACAGAAGCTAGTATATAATTAATCTTTTGAAAACATATATGAGATCATGTCAGATTACGATTTTGTTATTATGTAACAAGCATAATAGTGAAAAAAAATCGTACTGGAAATGTGTTACTTGACATATATTGGAAGTTTTCGCTGTCAGATTTACTTTTGATCCGTAAATGTCAGCATCATCATAACTAGCTGCTCAAGCGTGGAAACGTGGAATTGAACGTGACGCCTTTATTTTGAAGGTTTATACAGGAAGTAAATCTGGACGACCATGAGGATGACAGTTTAGCTGTGCGCATGTGCGCATCTTTGACAGCGGCCGGTGTTGTGCAAAAGTAATTAACCCCGGAATTGTGTTCCCTTCCGCGGGAGCGTGTAAACGAAAGGCAGGTCTTGCAAACGATCCCTCCCAGTTTCCAAACAAAAACAATAGTATGTTGGCTGTTGAATACATGCTGTAAAAATCAGTTTGACAGTATTGGGAAGACTTTCAATGCTTCGCTGAACTGCAACGGTGTCCAATTACACGTTGTAAGACGTTTACGACAGCAGGACTGTCAAGATATTTTTTACGATTATTGTCGCTCTCCAGGTCAATTTCCTTATTTGAGAATAAACATTGAACAAATATGATCTGTATACTCCTGTACTAATGTTGAAGTTGTGATAAAAAAAAGAATAAAGTCGAAATAATATTAATATTAAGAGAATCAAATCTTATATTTACGATAATCAAATTATTCACGGCCCAGTTTTGGCTTATGTGAATTTTAACTATATACTACACGTTAAAGTGATGCATATTTTGACATTTAATTTTTTGCTTGTATACAATGTTTATGTAAACGACGCGAAGACACGCCTGCATTAAAGTTTTTTTTTATAATATTACGAAACTGAAAGCATGAAAAAAAAAAACAACAACCAACGAACAGAGTGGATGCGCGCTCCCGCGGAAGGGGACCCGATTGGTGGAGGGGATACCGACTGGCCCGCGCCACCTGTCGGTGTCACAGCTGTGCGGTGCAGAGGGGACCGGAGCCGCTGCCCAGAGGCCACTGCAGCTTTCATTTCATTTCCATGTCGCGGATACCGCCGCCGAGGTCTCGGATATTAGACACACAGCAGCGCAGAAGGCACACAGACCAGCTGAAATCATTTGTGCCAAAGGTAAGAATGTATTTCTGGCGAGTTCGACCTCCTTCCAGCTAGCATTAGCCACCGGCAGCTAGTGGGGCATCTTCAGTAACGGTCGCTGCAGATGTGGGACAGATAAGTGTTGTCATTTGTCTGGTTTAGCATTTAACACCGTTTAAAACTGCTAGAACAACGGTGTAAACAAGACAGTCCAAACTGCCGACTGAAAAATAAGTTTGGACACAGAGGGATAGTCCAAGTCCGAACATAAACACAAAGTCGAGTCCATTGCAGTTATAGATGTTGTCAGAGGCCACTGTGACTGTAATAACCTTTGGATTGAATGTTTCTTATCCTTTTTAATGATTGATTTGTTGATTTGAACTGTGTGAAGAGTAATTAAGTCATTTGAGAGGGATATCACAGTCACTGTGGTCTCAGTTAGATTCTAAGGGGGGCATTAAAAGGGGTCTATGTCAATTCTGTAACCTTAGAAAGACCTTACATTACATAGTTACATTATTGCTTCAGTATATCTTTTGGTAATTCAATTCAACAATTCTCTGTCCAGATGTAAAAAAAAAACCCACGATGATTAAAAAATAATGTCATTGCTGTTTGACTGGCAGAGGGCTGGAAGGAGATGTGTGCTGCTGTGTACGTGCTGTCGACAGTAACGGGCTACGTGCTCACCTCGGCCCTGCTGCTAAAATGTCCCACTCTTCTGCATCGGAGGAAGCGAGAGAGGTTCCTCAGCCAGCACATTTCCCATCGTGGAGGTAAGAGCCGGCCCTTGGCTTTACTTCAGCGGTCATCGGGTCAGATCTCGCAGTTTTCTTCAGAAAAACACGATAACGGGACACTGTTTGATTGGATTTGTGATGCTTAACGTTTGACTTCCCCATCGCAGGGGCAGGAGAAAACCTGGAAAACACCATGGCAGCGTTTAAACAGTGAGTTAAAGGCTCTTCCTTAGGATTTTACACCGGGCTGGTGCGTGTAATGTGACTGTAAGGCAGCATGTATGATCCAAGCTTAAGTCTTTTTACCCTCACATGAGTACAGAGGAATTTATTAAATGTATCCATGTCTGCATGTATAAAGTAGTGAACTGCTTTATACTGGATTTATTTGCATGTGTGTTGCGTGTGTGCTGGTGAGGAGTCCAAATGTCACTGGTGGGAACTGTTTGCCTACATTCAAATACCACAGTGCTGTAAAAAGAACAAGCAAAGGTCAGCGAGCAGTTTTCCTTTTTCTTGTGCGTGTGTTTGTTGCAGCGCTGTGGATCTCGGCACAGATATGCTGGAGTTGGACTGCCACATGACAAAAGACGAACAGGTTGTGGTCTCACACGATGCCAATTTAAGAAGGGTGTGCGGCATCAACGCCGACATCTCCAACGTAGCCTACGCTGTGAGTTCCTGCCTCATCTACATCTGACAGGCAAATAACTACCTCATCATGAATAGTCAAACCCACTAAGAGTGTTCCCTTTTGAGAGGATGTGATAAAAGGGGTATATTTTAAACTTGACATAATGTTGGATCTCGTAGTTAGCTGCAGATTATTTCAGGAAGATTTAGAGTAAAATCTTGTTTTCAAGAGTATTTTTTATTTCACACAACAGTTTTATGTGGTTTTGGGCACATGAGGTGACAGCATCGTTAGATCATGTGTCTTAATCGAGTTAAGTGCATATTTAATCACCTGATTGTGTCACATGATGGTTAGAAAATGTCAAACAGCAGTTTTTTATGACTTGGTGGATAAACTGACCTTCAGTGAGACAGACCTTTTAATGGCCTGCTCTCTATTTCCCCTTTTTTGTCATACATAATTTATAATGAAACAGAGATCTTTGCTTTTCCGAGGAGGTCAGAAAACAAAGCTGTTGTTTGTGCCCGTGTGCAGGAACTGCCTCCGTACCTCTGCAAGCTGGGTGTAACTTTTCAAAAGGGTGAGCATCAGTCACTCATGATATCTGCATTGAAAAAGGAAAAGCCCTAAATTGTAGATGTTGTTCTCAACTCGTCCTTGTCTGTGCAGAGTGTTTCTGTGAGGGAGGCGAGGACAAGCGCATCCCTCTCCTCAGAGATGTCTTTGATGCCTTCCCTAATACGCCCATCAACATCGACATCAAGGTCAACAACGACACACTCATCAGGAAGGTGTGTGTGTGTGTGTGTGTGTTTGTAGCCTTCAGCCCCTTTATCTAAGCAACACTGCGATTTTCCCCCCTTTTTACTAACTCATTTGTCAATTAAAGTGGCCCAGACCTAATTGAACCGAATGCCAGTACAGTGCTGTGTGTCAGGCGTCGTGTTTCACAGCTTTTTTTCCTTTTTTTCCCCCCATCTTTGCAGGTTTCTGAGCTGGTTGTCAAATACGACAGAGAACACCTGACTGTGTGGGGCAACGCCAGCAACCAGATCGTCAAAAAGTGTTACAAAGAGGTACTTTTAAGATTCTCTGGCCTTATTCTAATTGGACTTGACAAGACTTAAGATAGATTTTTTTTTCTGTGCTTTGATCCAATTAGTAGAGTATGCTTATTTCATGACTGTCAGCATTTAAATCAGTGATTTCAGCAGGGAAAAGTCCACTGATAAAAGAAGAAGCTGATAATTATCAGCTTATTTGGCCTGGTGTCACATTTGTATTATAAGTGATATATACTGATATATATACAATATTATTAATATTATGGTATTTATGTTATTGATATGAATTTTTATATATATATGATGATACAGTATATATAATGTTAAGAAGTGCTCAGAAAAGGAAGTGATTCAAATATGTCCCTAACCCACGGGAAGTCAGTAGCGATTTTAATGTCATTAACCTGCTTCTCAACGTGCCACAGTTAGGTTCAAACTGGCGCATCTTGTCAATGATTTGCGCTTAACAATTTTCAGTATTAAAATTGAATATATGCTTGCCTGTTTTTGCAGAATCCTCACATTCCAGTGTTGTTCAGCCTTCCCAAAGTATTACAGCTGTTGGGCCTCTTCTACACGGGCCTTCTGCCCTTTGTTCCCCTCAAGGAACAGTTCCTGGAGATCCCCATGCCCTCCATTATAACCAAGTAAGAGCTCACAAACACAACCAAATGGAAAGGCAACATGCTGGTACAGCATGTTCAAACAGAGATTTATTTTCAGGTCAGGTGGTGCTCAACAGCACCGGCTAACTCTCAGTAATACCGCTTTTTGTTACACAACATGATGATGGAGCTGGGGGGGGGGGGCTGCCTAACAACACTAACACTAGACTACAACAACAGAGGGGATCGCCAACATCAGTAGGTCAAAGGTTTTGAACTGTTTGACTGGACTGCATTTTATTCCTTTCTCTCTGAAGTTCAAGTCCTAAATGAGCCCCACGCCAGTTAAAAAATAACCTTCACAGTTGAAACAGCTTTTGATGGGAGCTGTATTGAAGGAAAAGACAGCAGATCTCTTTATTGCCAATCTATAATTTGCCTTATTCCTGTGAGTGTAAAAACTCAACTCAAGGCTCCTTACTGGCATTTGAAAGAAACTAATCCGAATTCAAACAGCTCTAGATGAAGTAGCTGGCTTTCCATATCCACATTGTAACTCCATTAGCGCATAGATACATTAACACGAGACAAAAGTTGATTACTTTGGTGGATATGCCATCTAATGTGCCGATAGATTTCCCCAAGAGACCAATTTAAAATGTGGAGTCTAAAAAACTGTAGTTTGACTTTATTCTGATTCCAGTGATGGCCAGGAAATCAGAGAACATGTTCTCCGTTTTATCAAATAGATTCTATTATAACCAAATGCTCAGTTTCTGACTAAAAAGTATTTTTAACCAGGTGAGACCCTCACGGCACAGTTTGTGATAAACAGCCCTCCGTAGCATCGCTAGCTCATTTGAACATGTGGATTATAAGGCTTTAGGTGACACTGGTCAGATGTTTCCGCCGTGTCCTTTAAGTGTCCGTTATCGATGCTGCAGTTATGTTTGAAGGGCGCTGCATGTAAGATGATCTCATATCAATGAAGTCATTGAAGGACAAATTCACACCGCTTGGCTGTTAGAGTGTGTGTTAATAGGCTGTGTGGGTCCAGGTCACTTTGGTTGAATTATTCCTCCCGCTGTCCTGAATACTGGTTTCAGTGTACCCTGAGCACAGCTGCACCAGTTATTCTTTGATGCACTAAATCATTTTTCTTCTTTCTTATAATGAATTCCAGCAAGATGGTTCACTTTTTCTTTAATGAGCTGTAGCTTATTGCTTTGAGTCTAAATTTAGCTGCATACATATGCATTTCTCACCTCCTGTGACTGGTTTGGAAAAAGGAAAATGCGAGGCATCAGAGCAATAGTTTTCTTGCCACCTGCTGATTGAAGTGCCTTATTATGAGTACTACTTCTGTGTGATTTTACAGACTAAAAGATCCTGACAGGTTAACAAGGAGTCAGCGGTTTGTCGCCTGGCTCGCAGACTCGTAAGTCACACATTCATTTCAATAGTTTGTAGAACTAGATATTTATCTAGTAGCTTCCTTTTACAGATGGATCTTTCCTTTTGTGTTGCAGCTTACTAATGAGGAAGGCTCTTTTTCAACATCTGACTGCCAGGGGAATACAGGTAACCCTGCTGTTGCAGAAAAAGAACCACTCTTGTACACCAAGGACTGGAAATATAGTCAAGAAAAACCCAGATTTGTTAGCTGAGTTTCAGGAATGAGACAAAAACTATGCATAGGATTTAAAGAGGACAGAAATCAACTCTGGCGTGTCCTTAGCTGTGTGCCGCCTTTGAATTATTGTGCTTTACCTGGAAATGTCCAAGGTTCTTACAAGTTCAAATCTAAACCAGAGTGGGCGATAACTTGGCTGTCAGGGAGCTGAGGTATGCTTGTGTGGCTCCCTCCACTGTGTGCACGCATTGACAGTCCGACCCCTGTATCTGGTTTCAGGTGTACATTTGGGTGCTGAATGATGAGGAGGACTTCCAGAGGGCGTTTGACTTGGGAGCCACGGGAGTTATGACGGATTTTCCCACCAGGCTTAAAGACTTTATGGACAAGAATGGCATTTCTAAGTCCCAGTGACCTGCCAAATTTGACCACTCCCCACCTCCCTGGTGATTATCCCTCAAGCTGAGTGACCTGCCCGGCCAGCCCCCCCCCCCCTCCCTCATGCATCCACTTTTGCTGCTTGCATTCCAGCAGGGCTTCTCTCACACAGTGTTTCACAAAAAGGGGCATCTGTTGCTTTCCTGGTGTCAGCAATATAAATATTTGTATTCATGGAGACACAAAGAGTAATCCTAGATTGGCTCTTCAAATGTTTTTGTGAAAGGTGAAAAACATCGGCTACACAGACAGTAGCTTTAGAAATTTAGCCTGTAATTAATTTCTTACAGAAAGGCTGTTTGGAAATGTTGGATATAAATCATCATAGTTATAGGACAGGTTAACAGTCCATCAAAAAGTCAATAGAGAGATAAAAATCTATTATATATGACAGAAATCCAGAGTACTGGGAGAGAACCCATTAAAAAAAAGAACAGAAAATACATCCTAGACTGAACTAACATTATGTTTTGTCAATTCTTTCCAAGTGGCTATAATTTGACATCTCTTTCATAAATGTCCCAGAAATTAATTTAAAAAAAATGTTGTTTTATGCAAGCATGTTTGGAGGGAAGATCTTGGTTGAATGGACATAGATGTCCCTAAAGACTTTATTTTTAACTGCAATAAACGATCGGCCTTTCTTGATAGTGTTTAATGGTCCTCCGCTGACCACCACTACAGTATAATGTGGGATGTCTTTTGTTATCACAGAGCTCCCTCAAAAAAGCCCATCTTTTTAAGTAGATTTGAATAAATGGGGCAATAAGTTCAGAAAAGTTATGGATGCAAAACTTACTGTTCTTTTATTTTAATTCTAAATGTGTAAGTAATAACCTCCATTATTTTTTTATACAGATTTACATAAGTGAGGACTTTATTTTTTTTGAGTGCTTTAAGACTGAGTGTGTGGTGTTTTTGGCATTGAACAGGTGGAGTTTGATGTTGAAATGCTATGTTTAATTTGTATTCACTATTACAACAAGACTATCTCTTGGCACATGCAATAGTATAATTTTCAGATATTTTCGAAAATTATTATGTATTTGATGCCCCCAGAAACGAGCTACTTGTTATTAGTAATAGTGCATACACAAATTCAGTGTATCTGTTCAGTGTGCCGCAATAATCACTGTTCATGTGCTGTGTTGTTTTGTTATTGTGTAGAAGCTACTATCAGGAGTTTCATTTTTCATCAGTCACGTAAAGCACAAAAGAAAGGAATATTATTTTTGTGTTATATTTTTTCAGTGTGATGATAAACATTTTAAAGAAGTCTGAATATATTGTGTACTCATGAGATTATGGCAGCCTGCAGAGGCAGTTCTGCATGACTGATTGCTTTACCGCTGTTAAAATATGCTAAAGACAAGGAATCTTAAAGGACAGCGTACTCCTGCACTGCTGTGGCAAAGCCTGTGGAGATGCAAGAGAGTAAAACTGGGTTTATTACTTGTACCAATGATGTTCTCTAATTCAAACTCACAACCAAGCGTTGGGGGTCCTCTAATGAATGTACCGTAATATTGGTTGAATGTACTGTAAGTGTGTAAATGTGTTGCAATCAAAACAGTATTTCAGTTCCAATGATTATTTTTTGCATTTTTATATTTTGATTAGTTGGTAGAGCCTTTCATCCAAATGTTTTTTTCATTGGAAGGTTACAAATGTTTGACATATTTTGATTACATGTACTGTACTGAGAGTACTACATGCTGCATTTTCAAAAGAAGCTGTTATGCTTGAAGAAAGGAAGATCCTATAAGTCTGTGCCACATGCAGTATGCCACTCATTTGTTTGATGATATAAAGTTAGTATTTACCAGGAACAAATAAGCACTGATTATAAACTCACACCTGCATTGTTTGCGACGTGCAGAATAATAGCTTTCTGTTATTTTAGTTGTTCGATCTCCAGTTATATTTCAGCTTAAATGGTATCTTGTAAATTAACAGAGGGTGGCGCTGCAGACTGGGTGGATTTCAGAAGTTTGTTCAGTAGCAGATAAGTTAAAGGTGTCATCTTTAAGGTTTCATGTGAAAATCATTATATTTTCCTCTGTTGTACCGACGTCCTTCACTCGTATGTAAAAGTTTGATTTGATTTGATTAAACTGTTTTAAAAACACATTTTTCTATCATTTCTGGAAAATTCATCAAAATGTGAAGTTCTGGTGAAATTATTGGTTATTCACCTCTGCTTTCGACCAATAAGCACAGTGTTGCTATGCCTTATCGTTTTTCTGATTGGCTGATATGTGTGTCATTAAAACTCCGGCATTGTTTTTGACAAAGAGTGTCTATTCAGTACGGTCTCCTTTTAAAAACATTGTCCAGCGTGGTTCTGCAACTTCTCCTATGGACTCGGAATTACGAAAAAGGTCTTACTTTCATCAAAAACATATACAGGTCAGGGCTGGTTCGTTTTGCTAGCTACCGGTATAAAAGAGTTAAAAATTAAAACCAAATTAAAGTTTTATATCCGTGTCAGCTTTTTTTTTTTTTAAACGAAGATGTAATGTCTATCACAGATAAACTATACTCACATTTTGAATCGAGACATCTCTAAAAGTTGAAATTTTGGAGGACTAAAATGTTGCTGCTGTACACAAAGTGAGCCACGCTCGCTAACAGTGCGGGTGGGTGACGTAGTTACTGCGAACGCGGAAGTGGCGGAGGGTGAACCATCCCGCTCCGGCTGGTTGGTCCGCCACTCTCTGGGTGTCTCTGTAAACTCTGCTGGGCACCGTTGCGCGTCAAAACATTGCGTCTCTCTGCAGGACTTGCCAGGGCTGGAGAAGAGAGGAAATTTGCCTGGGAAGGAATGCGAAAGAGGTTATAGGATTGGCAGTGCCACGAAGAAAACGAGGAGGTGCGACATTTTCCAGGCTACGTGGAGATCCGTTTTTCTTCCTGTCAAAGGTATGCGTTATATTTAGATTTCTTTCACTCTTGATATATTTTGTTACGCACTGTTTTCATTTAGTAGTTTGAGGGGTTATTCAAGCATCGATGTGGCCACAGACTCCCTTTCCCATCTAGTTAAGTTTGAACTTGTCCTGCATGTATATTTGCTGTACTATTACAGCGTTAAAAGTCAAGTTTTTGGCTTTGCATCCTGTTATTTTCCCCTCAGATAACTGTGATCATGCTTCATGTCTGAGCTGGTTATTGTGATCCATTCGTCCTTTTAGATTGTATAGTGCTGGAATCATGACAGGTTCAGTGTGTTTACGTTTTAATATTCTTCCATCTTTTTTTTTTTTTTTAATGTGGTGGGTAATTTTGCACGTATGCGCCATCGATCCCGTGCGCGCGCCTGGCCGTAGCCGTGCACGCCAGCTCTGATCAATGCGGGTTTATCATGTAAGAGGCTCATGTGATCGCGCACTGACGACGATAGGGCCGTCAAAGTCATTGAGGGTGATAAAGATTTTCAATGGCAGCGGCGTGGGCGCGCTCGTGCCTGCGATCGCGCGCGCTCGCGCTCTCGCGCGCGTGTGTGTGTGTTTTCAGCATTGCTGAGCTGAGGCATCCCCGCCATCTGTGGCGGCTGAAGTTCTGCCCCAGATAAAGTGCGCCACTTCCTGTGACCTGATTCACACCAGTAATTACACATACATACTGTAAAGCAGGCCCTGCTGGTTCTATCGACGTGTGGCTGCCATTGATGGACCACTTCTGTCACTCAGGCACTCCATGACAGTCAAGACTTGCAGGGGGGGGGGGCTGATTTTATCCCTGAAATCAATTCATTGAGAAGTCGAAATATGGACACCCCGATCAAGTCCCAACCTCTTTGGGATCACTGCAGAACTTCTGTGCCGATAGGCATCGATAAGATGCGTGAGAGGTCAATATCAGGGATCAAAGATGGGGGTTAGAGTGCTGCAGACCTTGAAAGGTGATCCCTGGTAAACAGGGAATGCTTACAGAAACAGAAGTTGCACTATGCTGCCAACTTCGCCACCGAAAAAAACGATACCGAGCACAGCTCGTCTCCCCCAACGGCGAGTTTCCCCCCCCCTCCAGTGGAGACGACGCAGCATTTCAGGCCTCCGTCAACGTTATTTCCCCCTCCCAAAAGACCACGAAAGAAAAGAAGAGGGGCGAGCAGAAGAAGAAGAGGTGGAGGCAGCGGTAACCAGACACGCACACCGGAGAGGCAGAAGCATCCCTCCATCAGGGAGATTTGATAGGAGTGGGGAGTGGAGTCAGTGATGTCATGCTGCTGCACGGCTGCTGGTTTGGGTTGTACCGCCGAACGGGGAGGAGGATGAAAGAACATCCAGTCCACAAATCCTGCCAGTGCCGCTCGTGGGCAGCATCAGACGCGCGGCGCTTCTTGCCCTCTATCTTTTTTCTCCTGCTTGGGATCATTGTCAGGAGCGGCATCAGCAGCAGCAGTGTGTTACATAACAAAGGTTTTTTTGTTGGGATACAAGGGCTCTTTTGGCTGCTCCAGCTTGTGGCACGCAGCCTTTTGTGATGACACCCAGAAATGACCAGAATGGACAGCTCAGTGACCTCAAACAACCCGCCGCAGGACTGATGAATAGACAGAAAGACAGCAGAAAAAATAAATATGCAAACAGGCCAGAGGGCATAGAGACAGATGAAGGGGGGGACAAAGCCTGACAGTCTGAGAGATAAAGTGAAAACAACAACAAAAACAAAGAAAAAAAACAAGCTGACATTACACAGGCACTCCTGACTAGTCAGTATTGATTAGGGGAAAAAAAGGCCTTTTTTCTTTTTTTCTCCGGCTGGAGCCTGCCCCACGAACTGTGATCTGTTGTTCATCTGATCATTTCTGCAATTAGTTTTTCTTTCAGAGGGTTTATTGTGAATTTATTTCAAAGCAGCTGGAGCTGACTCTTTGCAGGCCATCAGCGTCCTCGTTGCCACGAACAATGACGCTTTTACAAAATGACTCTCGAGCCCTTCCACCCACCAGGATGAGTGATGCCCTTTTTTTTTTTTTGGGAAACCAATGGAAACTATTTAAAAACGACAACCAGCCTCACATTCGGCCCGTGAACAGGCAAAGGAAACGATAAACACCTTTATTATTCTTCCACTGCTTGTGGCTGGTTTCAAACAAAGAAGTAGAAATATTGGAAATGTCATCGCCAAATCAGCAGATTTCATTCCCCGTAAATCACATATTCTGGGCCAAATCTAAAGATTAGTTCCATCATCTCAACTTTTTTTTTTTTATTCCAGTGGAACTCGGAACTTTTGCCGTCTCCAAAGCTAGCCCAGATGTGCTGGCGTTAGCTCTCCACAGGACCACCAAACACGTGCTCCCGCTTCACCCACGGCGACAGTGACACCACCATGTATTTTTAATCCCGTTAGCCAGGTGTATCCGCTTCCAACCGAAGCAGCTGGCACGCGCCGGCTCCATTGTTGCCGTCGTGCTGGCCTTCCTCTTTAAAAAGGCACTCAAGATAATAAAAAAAAAGGCTAAATAGAAAGTGTGTAGCGTGTGAGGAGATGTGAGTGTTACTCCTCAAAGGAAACATCAGTGTCGGGATGCATTCAAGGTCAGAACGCCCACAGTTAGTTGTTCCCAAAGAGCCTTTTCCCGGCTTGTTGTGTCTGTTGTCTCTTGCTTAGCGGCTTTGAGCTGAGGCTGTCGGTGTGTTTGTTCTGTTGGACAGGATCCCAAAGGTTCCGGAGGGGCTAAACTGAAATGGCTTTTTGGTTGGGCAGTCAGGGTCTGCCAGTGTGTGGCCAGGGTCAGCTCTGACAGCTGGATGAGTGTGCCTTTGTGCCCCCCCACCCCCCCAACCCCCGTCCCACTCTGCTGGCACCGGCTCAGAGCAGAGGAAACAAGGACGCGTCTCACTGCCTGGTTTATTTCCATCCCCCGGGTCCTTCCCCTCAGCCCCGGAGCCTTTCAGCTGCCTCCGTCCGACGCCGAACACAATCGCATATCGCCGCGGGCCGCTAAAGAGGCCCCGCTGCTTTGTCTGCCCGGAGCCCACAGAGGCCTCACACTGCCCATCAGTATTTTACGAGTTTGGCCAGATGGTTCCGTATTTACCGACGGGAATCAGATCCACTCACCTTTTCTTTTCAGAAAAGGTGTAGGAGATGACACTGCGTGTCAGATCAGAGCTCCAGGGGCTGAAATCACCATTAATGTTGATGTTTTTTTACCAATAAAACTCCAACAGTGTATCTCGCTGCACGACACGGCCGAAAGAGCCCTCTTCCCAGGGCCAGATCGCTAATCTTCTCACCGGGGCACACGGGCAGAAGTATTTTCAGGGCCCGGATCCCTTCGGATATCATGTAGCGAGCACTGCACGGTCCTCGGTTGTGCGAAGGTAAGCAGATTATCCCCGCGGCCTCACAGACTTAAAACACAGAATGCAAAGCAGCGCTGCCGGACTGACAAAGCAGGCGGCCGGAGTCACGCTTCCGCTGCTGCAGGTTTATGGCAGCGGCGAGAGAGGAGAAGGAAACGACGCTCAGATTACCCCAAACAACTGGGAAAAGTTGTCCTTTTTCACAGGATCGGGGGTCTTAAACATAGACTCAGTGTTTACGATGCGCAGACGCTGATCAGATGTAGTTCGGATGGCTGTTAGCATGTTGTCTTAGCACCAGAAAGGACAGATTTCAATCATCTTCTGGGAGACGCAAAAGGCCCATTTAAAAATCCAGTTGGTCACATCACAAAAGCAGTGTGGCAACAAATCTCTCAAACCAATCAAGTACCAAAACGGATTCTGGGTCCTGAGACCGTCAACTGAAACCATCTGTGAATCTTTTTATTTTTCTTGCTGAACCTGAAATGTGGGATGCTGTGACTCAGCCTGGGACGCAGGTTCATTAATAATACAAGGCCTCATCAGATCATACAGTAAGCTTTTGGGGGTTTCTCACAGACACACACACACACACAGACACACACACAAAGAAGGCTGGAAAAATTCCCCTAACCCACAAAAGCGGCCTGTAATCCCATCAGCGGCTCTCCGGCCGGGGTCAGGGCCTCCGGCGGGAGTTTTAAGCAGCAGGAGTGACCGTTTTGCCGCTCCTCTGTTCCCTCTGACCCAGGTGTTCACCTCCCGACCCACCGCCCACCACGGCCCTCACCTGTGTGCTGCGGTGCTTCCCCTGTGAGCCCACCTGGGCCGGCAGTCCCTTCTTGCACCGCCCGCCGACCCCGCCCATGGTCAGGATGACGCGCTCCAAGACCTTCCAGGCCTACCTGCCCAGCTGCCACCGGACCTACAGCTGCATCCACTGTCGAGCCCACCTGGCCAACCACGACGAGCTCATCTCCAAGGTAACCCCGGCAATTAACGAATTAAACGGAAAGATAAAGGCGTACGTGAAAGGAGAGGGGGGGGGGCAAAGTCAGAGGCCCGCAGAGCGAGCGCGGAATAACGAGGCGGGGCAGATTAGGAAGTGCAAAAATAGACAGCAGGGCCAAACATCTGGACGCGTCTGATCCACCGCCGCTCTGTATCCTGTGGGTGGATTATGTTGCAAGCTGGTTTTTGAAGGGGATTATGAGCGGGCTATCACTTTTTTCCCCCATGGGCGGAGGGGAAAACGCGCTCACCTGCGCTCAAAGGCCACCGCCAAAAAGTCGACCATGACAATAACAACAGGCTTTTAGCTAGGACGTCTTCCTGACGATTTTAATGCCCATTTTTTCAAAATGAAAGCTCCTCGACCTGGCATGTTAACATTTTGTTATACTAGAAATGTAGAAGGGCCCAGCAGGCAGGCGACAGAGAGGATGGTGCTCCTCAGACAGCGGGAGGAATCCAAAACACAGAGCCCAGCGAGCCGAGCAAGGGAGGGTGGAAAAGAGCAGGAGGTGGACAAGAGGGTCAGCCACGGCAACGGAAAGCTGCTGGTCCACATGTGTGGATATCAGTCACTAAACCTGGAAAAGGAAGTGGGGATAAAGTAAATACACCGGGGCTGAGAGATAAAACAGACGCAGCTTGGTCCTGAAACAGAAACATGGGGACCCAGAATGGTGGTTGGATGTTTGTGTGGTGGGATTCTGGTCCCGCTTTTTGATTGTGGTCTCCTTCTGTCCGTGCAGTCGTTCCAGGGCAGCCAGGGCAGGGCCTACCTGTTCAACTCAGTGTGAGTATTGATCCGAATTTCTCATCTGTTTTAGCAAAAAGGCTTTACCGGAAATAAACGGCTGTGCTCGCTGAGCTCGAAGCTCGGCTTAATGCTCGGCCTAATGATAAACATGGCAGCCCGCGAGAGAGCAGTGCTTGAACAAAAGTTTCTCCCTCCGTCCCCCGGCCTGCTCTCAGGGTGAACGTCGGGTGTGGCCCTGCGGAGGAGAGGGTTCTGCTGACCGGCCTGCACGCCGTGGCAGACATCTACTGCGAGAACTGCAAGACCACCCTGGGCTGGAAATACGTAAGTGCCCCCCTTGTCCAGCGCCCACAACACCGCGTCCCAAGTTTAGGAGACGACAAACCGAGGGGTTATTTTTATAGCGTCGGCTAATTTTGCCGCTGCTCTAATTCCGTTCGGACCTCCCCTCCCTTCCGTCCGGGTCACTGAGGCTGTTCAGCTGTAGACCGGGTGATTAGATGGTAACCTTGTCCCAACAGATGGACAGGTCCTAATATATCAAACCTGCCACGATGAGGTGGTTTTTGTGGATTCAGCAGAAGGGTTCCAACTCCTTTATCACTCAGCCTGAATTCATATTCAGAGGCTTGCCACTGGATTGTCTCCTCTTATACGATGTGTAATGGTGTTAAGTTTCTTTTACAGATGGAGACTTTTTCTTTTTTTTAATATCTGTTTTGATAAAAACAGATCAATTTGTTTTGATTGGCAGAGTTTAACAAAAGTTTCAAATAGGATTCTCTAATTGCTAGAATCTCAGACTGTGTTGATCCACGGAGAAAAAATGAGCCCCAGAAACCATTTTCTTTTCATATTAACTGCATAACAATAAATCCGTGATCTATCTCTTTAACAGAATTTTCCAAAGGGAAAAAACAAAGCAGGTCAGTCCGTATTTCAACACACATAGATGCTAAACATGAAAATAAACACATAAACATGACCTTTTCTCCTGAAAATAGAGCGATTCTTGGTACATCTGCGGGCTCTGCTGTCTGTAAATGAGCAGATTATCAGCGATGGCGTTAACATAAACATTGTTTACGGCTCCACGCCCACTGAAGAGTGCAGCTGCACGCTGACCTGTTGTTTCTGAGTCAACATTTGTCACGTCTGCCCAGTCCTCTCAAATAATTGAATATACCCAGCTGATGGATATACTGAGTTTTTATTGTTATGTCATCCTCCTTCGCTGGCTGATGCGTTGATTCAGGCTATTTAGATGCCTCCGACAGGCCGGCAGTTAACTGCGTCTGCTCCTGGGGACACGGAGCCGCAAATCAGAGAAGGCTCTGAGGGGAGCGCCCATAAAGACAGTCTCAGCCATTTCATTTCAGTGATCAGTGAAGACATCTACCATCTCTAACACAAACTAACATAAGGTCCCAAACAGGAAGACCTGTGGATCATTTGGAGCTGGGTGTACAATCTAATACTTCTACGAGCAAAAACCACCAGTAGAAATGGCCATAGTAGTCTCTTGTTAAGAAAGGGAAAATCACATTTAGGAGACAAACTGAAATTATCCTAAAAATGTTTGAATTCTTTCAGAAATATGCACCAAAGCACATGTAAAGCCACTGTTTTTTTTTTACAACCTTTTGGACACGAGCTCACGATGGGGCCTCTAACGTGAAAGAAAAACCCTAAAACAAGTCTTCAACAGGCACCAATAGTTAGTAAACCGGGTCCTTCCCATGCCGACGCCTCATAAAGCCGATTTAGTCCCACCTCTCACAGCTCGGTGTCAAAAACAGCCGAGTGGTTTCCGCGCGGAAATAACACGGACAGCCTCTCTCTGTGTGTTTTTGCTTACTTCCTCAGCAAAAGGACACACACGTGTGGAGTGCATTTAGCGCGGGCGGTGTTTTAGGGCTCGTGTCACGGTGACCCTAAAGGAGATCCGCACGTTAGCCGCCTTCATACATCGGGCCGAGCTAAGCGAGCGCAGCTGTCACCGGTCAGCTCCAGCCAGCACAGAAGTGAGAGTTTACACTAGGCCGCACGTGACCGGATCCTGGAGGGGGTTAACACACAGCGTCCTTTTTAGAATCCTGACAAGGCTCCATTGATCAGTCTCGGTGCCTAACCTCTTATAATAACAGTCAAAGGCTAGCAGCCCGCTCTCACACTTTCATCCTCCCCGCCTTAAAAATAGCCATTTTCCTTATGCCCAGTACAAATAGCCACTGGCGTCTTTAGTCTCTATTCCTGTCAGGACCCCACAAGGCAGAGGAAACATGGGCGGAGGGGCGCACACCTTGGCCCGGCGGGCGGAGGGCTTGCCATTAATACCAGCTGCGGCAGATTTTCTGCGGCGGTCTCAGTTCTATTGAGAGGCCTGACCTACTGCACTCCTGCACAGAGAAACCTGACGCCACGCCTCTGCAGCGCAGGACCAAAAATAAGCCGAGACAAAAACAAGCCCCGGATGCTGAGCAGAGAAGGAGCGTTTGTATCCGCCTCCAGCCTCACACTTCTGTGGGAGCTTTTACAACTAAGAAGCCAAGTGTAATGCCAAACGTGGAGACTATTTTTTTTCTTTCTCCATTTACATTAAAAACAATCTAGGGACGCCACCACCCACTCTTTTTTTTTTGATGAGCAGTGCTGCTTTTGCATCCATGATTAAGCCGTTTGTAGGCAAACTGTGGTGCTCAAACTGACTGTCGCCAGCAATTAACAGGTCTACTTTTGATTTAAACATTTGTTTACAGGCAGGAAATGCAGAGTCTGCAGGCAAGGGACAAGACTGTCCTCACCAGAAGTTCTCCACAAAGCTGCCCATGAGCAGGGGCTTAGGTTACATGCTATTTCAATGGAATAAGAGGTGAAAAATCATTTGCCTAAAATCATCAGCCCGAGCTTCAAAGCTTTGTAGAAAACTAATCGTGTCCTCAAAGAAAAGCCTGTACATTTAAGATGGAGTCCCAGCCTCAAAAAGACATGATCAGAGTCATCAAAACAAGAACTGGGAGATGACTAACTCCATAATAGCATAAACAGCTATTGCCAGAGCATAAAGTCAAACAGAGTAGGCTTAGGATAGGTTAGAGAAACTAAAAAAGAAATAAAAAGAGGCATTTTTTATTTTTCAATATGTGTTTTGAAGAGTTTTTTTCAATCCAAAGAAGATGGTAGTTTTTAAATGCCTGCTTACAGCATTCACATGTGCTACCCAGTCACTGCAAAGCGGCATGTATGCGGGTATAGCCATCAAAATCCAAAATATCAAATTCCCTCTGATGCGATTCAACTCGACTCTTATTTTCTGACCAGTAGGAGGGGCCTTTAATGGCTGGGCTGATAGGCTTTCACATAATGCACAGGCAGTGGAGAGTCTTTTCCTTTCCTAATTTTGATTCCAGCCCTATTAAATAAATGTGCCAGCTTGTTTATAAGCCTTGGTGGGGGCACTGGTCAACACATTTTCCTTTCCATCATTTTCATCATCCTATTAAGCACAGCCTCCATACTTTCGAGGTTCTGCGTCCGTGCGTTTGGTGACAGGAGAAAGACTCCTGTCCTTATTTTCTATACATGATGGCTTTGTGGACATCTTTGCACTGATTTTTGTCTTTTCACAAAGAGCCGAGAAAACTGTCCCCCACACACTTTTTTCTACCCTACTGGATTTGTACTTTTATTTGACTGTCTTTTAATCTCTGTTTAAGACATCACCCTGTCCCCTGTCCCCCTCTGCTTTGCCCCCCCCTCCAGGAACACGCTTTCGAGAGCAGTCAGAAGTACAAGGAGGGCAAGTTCATCATCGAGCTGGCGCACATGATCAAAGACAACGGCTGGGACTGAGAGGCGAGCAGTCGGGCGACCACAGCGGCGGAGGAAGAGGAGGAGGAGGGGCTTAATGGGAGGGGGTGGGTGGGTTGGGGGGGGGGGGGGTAGGCATGCGTGTGCTGGGTGAGTGTGTGACTTTGGTTTGGCCGATTTACCGTTAACCTCTGTAACTTACTGCCCTTTACCTCCCCCCCGCCACACCTCTCGATGTATACACACACCACCACACATCGGGGTCCCCAGACACCCCAGTTTGACGGAGAGGCAGACGAGGCAGGCCGGCGGCGCGCAGCTAGCAGGACGAAGGGTCCGGCCGGCGGCGGTAGACCAGGCGAGATGTCTCTCGTTAGTTGAATGACTCTGAAAGGCGAGCTCTCAGAATCGGCCGTTCGGGGGATATCCTCGCTCTCTTTTGTCCAACGATAACCCCGGCGCCCGTTGCCACGGGGTCATTATCTGGTTAAATAGCCAGAGGACGACCGGTTGGCTCCACCTTATGTGCTTCATTTGTGGCTTGGGCGAAGAGCTGACGGGGTATTCACTCTGTTCCCAGCATGAATGAGAGGACCTAAGATGATTACAGCAAATCCGGCTGATGGGGCCGTGCCAGCTGGGCCAGTGATGAGGGCCCGGCGCCGGGACTGAGGCCCGCGCGCACGGGAGGCGGCCTGTGGCAGGAACTGGATCACACACACACACACACACTACAAAATGGTGGGGGATAAGATCCCGATCCAGTTCCGCGGCCGCTTTGAAGGCCTTTGGCCGGGCTGGCCAGAGAGGCAGCTCAGGACGAGACATGTGTGAAAGAGATGCGGATGGACGGCCACCAGCTGGTCCGAAAATCTCACAGGAACCTTCCCTTACAAAGACAAAGCAACCCCCCCCCCCCCACCCCCTTCCCCCACTGGGTTTTACTCTTCCTTTAAAACACAAAGTCATGAAAAGCAACCTGCTGATCCTCCCTGTGTCTGTAAGTCTAATGAGATTGACCTAACATATGGACGCCTCGGGTCAGTGAGGTCTGCTGGGAGTTAGCACAAGAGGGAACACTAAAAGAAAGGAGAGTCCCGTTAAAAAATATTCCGTTAAGGAAGTTGCACATGTCCACAAATTGGCGCTCCGTAGCCTCAAAGAAAGACCCGACCGCCCTCTTTCAGTCTGGGACGGGCGCCGTCTAGCTGCTGTTCCTCTGATCTGTACTAACTGACCCTCACACAAACCCACCGGGCAACAATATGAGGCAGTGTGCTCCACTGACTCTCCCATTCTCTTCTATAATGCACCACTCCGCATTGACATACTCAGTTTTTTTGGGGGGGAGGGCCTTTGAAGGGTAATGTTTGACCTCACCTTTTCTGGGAAGCCTTGCTCAGGTACATTGGGCTAACTTTTCTTTGCTAAGGCCAGGATCCTACTTAACGTGCTGGACGGGTTATTCTCCGAGGGAAACGTCTGCCTCTCAAACGAGAGAATCTACTCCAGCCGCCTCCATCCCGTGCAAACACCACCGTTAACGCATGCATGACACAGCCAGCTCTCCGAATAGTTTGGTGCCACGTCCTCATCCCGTTTTTGTGGAAAGAGCGTTGTGCGTCGCTATGAAACCTTGTGCTGTAATACGAGTCGGGTTCGTGGCCGTCCGTTTGAGGCGTGAGATTAAAGCGCGGATTAAACGTGATCCTGGTTTAGGAAAGGGAAATTAGTTTGTCACACAGTTCCCTGCCGACATTGCTCTACAAGTTGCCCCCCTATGTGGCCACGCCTCTCCAGCTCCAAGCCAACCTAAACAGTTAATTCTCTTAAGTAACTGGCAGCGGCTGACCTCTTTAAGTCAGAGCCTGCAACATTGAACTCAGCACAACCAAAGAATCCGCCCGTCAACAAGAAACTGACCAAACAAAAGATTTCATTTTGCTTGGGCAACGTGTTGCAAAACAAGAGGGTGTGTGTACAGCTGAAAGCCAAGTTTGCAGATAGCCTTTCTCTGTGATATATACAATGCATTGTGATTTTGTAAAACAGAAGATCTTAATATATGAATATATTCTATTTACTGTATTCATCCCGATTACCATCTCTGTCAATCTCTGTTACAGACTGTAAATAGTGTTAATGTACTTTCTTTTATCTATGATCCATATGATGATGAATGAATATGATTGCGGTCATGTCATGCTTTCTCTCTGGTACCCCACATTGGCTGTACGATACTACTTTTTTTACTGAAAATGTTTCAATTTTAATGTCTTTTGTAAAGGAGGATGCTGATGTTGACTATATATCATTGGATCTTCATCTAATAAAATGCACCTTAATATCTGTACGGAACAACTGGTGTGTGTTTCTGCCTTTGCAGACTTGAATCTGATACTAGATTTCACACATTAAAGGAACCCTCCATCAGTTTAGCGTTGTAATCCAAAATTTAGACGTAGTTAGGATTGACTTTTCTATTTCTTACTTCATCTTTCCAAAGTAAATTGGAGACAGGCCTTACTTAAATTAAGTCAGATTACAAACACATAAGAAAGTCTTAGACAATCATGTTTCCACCCCTAAATTTTTATTTTGATTGTAACCTTTTGGCCTGTTTAGTTACTATATTAACAATAACTTATTTTTTGGGTTTTTGAATACAGATAATTCAAATTCTTGTATTATGAAGTGGAGAGAGGACGTAGACAAGCCAACCTTAGATAAAGGCTCTCTCTCTAGCCTGCTCATGTTACTTCCACCGCTTATAAACATAAACATGCACCGTGTTTTTCAATTAAGACGCAGTCCTGTTTAAATCAGTTGATAATCCATCATGGGGTTGCCTACATGCTTAGGTGATGGCAAACATAAGCTTATAATCTTCTTTCCCTAATAACAAGAATAAATAAATAATGGGAGTGATGATGAAAGTGATGACTCATTCCCTCCTCAGGGGAATATGAATATGAATACGAGAGTGAGATGGAATCACATCATCGGAGAACGTGGGCAGAAAGCCGTCTGCGAGTGAACAATGAACAATGACAGGTATCTGGTGAGGATGTTTCACAGTCCCCATGGTAACAGGTGCATCATCGGTTACCATTAGGGGTTGTGGAACAAACAGGAAGAGGCGTCACCTCCTCCAGTGTTCAGAACTTTAACACGGAAATATCACGAGGCCGGCACGTCTGACGTTTTCTGCCAGAGTCTGGAGTTGAATGTGTGTGTGGAGGAGGACTGAGTGTGTGTGTGAAGTGAGAGTCACACCTGTTAGCCATACACTTTCCTACTCTTTAACTCCCCCCTACTTGTTCCCCGCCTCTTTCCTCATTTTCCTACGTTCTCGAATCTCTCTTTTCTCCTTTTTCCAGCTCACGTCTTCGTTCCCCTTTTTCCCGAAACTCTCCCCCGTGGCGTTGTTTCCAACGAGCCTCCTGGGCCGATTTCGCTCTCTCCCCGTCCAACTTGGCAAACCCAGTCCAAATCTTACAGCAGCAGATGGTGCTGTGTTTGCATTGAGCCACGTCTCCTAGCAACCTCATCTCCCCCGACCTCTCCCTCCTAAAGCGGAGCTGTGGAGGAGTTGGTGTCATGCAGCGTCTGGGTCCGTCCGGCCCGGCCCGCCTCCGTTTCTGGGACGGACTTGACTGTCTCTCGGCGTTGATGTCTATTTTCAGGTCTGTCTCCCTCCGATGCAGAAGTAGGGCAACAGCTGACCGCCTGGATTACTGTATATGTGTAATGATTACATTTGAAGTACAAAAACAAGCGCCGGACCACCCGTTCCCCACAGACTAAATGTAATGTCTAACTCTACGTGACCTACATTTGACAGATGTCGACATATGTAGTGACGGCGGTAAAAGACATCCCATCGGCCTCATCTAAGTTGGACTGAGGTCAGATTTGGTCTCATTTCTGACACTCAAAAGTGTGGAACAATTTATCTTCATCATCACTTGATCTCATACATAAACAGCTTAACCAGAGACATGTCTCTTAAGCAGAGACAGATTCCAAACTATACCCTCAGCTTTATCCAGACATACACATACTACATGCCATTGACTCCTATTCTTTAAATAAAATTGGGTGGCTTTTTCGTGGTAAAGATAGTTTAGAATTTCATAGCAGCCTACTGTTTAGTTTCTCCACTGAAATTCAGCCCTATTCTCCTTTCACTGTGTCAAATGCTGGCCAGTCAGACACAGACGCACGCCAACGTTACCTTAAAAAACTACAATGAGGAAACACCTGAATCCGACAGGAAAAACGGTGTGTGAAGCCGTGGGACTAAGAACAGTGATATTGATATTCTATTTTAATTAATTAAAACAAACCGTTGTGGGGCATACACGTACTTTAAAGGGTGAGAGGGAATGTAGCAAATGGGCAATGGTCTGAATAATCTAGCAGGAGACGCATTTTTTGTCCAATCATACTCCAAATTCTTTCTCCGGCTCTGACCCTATTGCCCAAAGAAGGTAGCAGAAAACTTGAAGACTCTGTGTTTGCCCTTTTTAAGAAGTTATTCTTACAAATGTGGCAGCATTTTGTCAGAACCATCACACAGAGGCCTTTAAAGACCCTAAAAGATCACAAAGCAATCATCCATCATGAAGAGCCTGAGATATAGTCTCTCTCTCTCACACACACACAAACACACACAGACACACACACTCTTTAGCCCACACAAACGCACAAAGGGTTTTGCTGAGGAAAATCAAAGAATACCAGTGGCTGCTGTTGCTGGCCATGTTGTGATGCCCTTTTATCTGATTCATTGCCTCAATTTATTTTTCCGGCTGCGCAGAACAGGGATGCAAATGCCTAGCCATTCTCCTTGAGGGCCTGCTGTTTGTTAACATCCAAAAACAAAATGTGTTTCCTAACAAGTCCAAACACGTTGTACATGTACTTTTCACTGTCCAAACGCAAGGGATCAGGAGGGCAAGAGGCAAAAGGAAACGGTAGTCAATATGAAGCCACGAAGCATCTGGTTGGCTACTCTTTGTTTTTTAAGGGGACTCTTTAGCACATGTGGGGAGGGGGGGACATTGCCTTTTTTCTTCAAATTAGCACAACAGCATAGAAGCCTCTTTGGAG